CATATACTTGGCATGTTTCTAACCTGCTTCGCAAACGACGCTAATGGTAGTTAAGCTACAGTAAACGGCTACTATGCTGAAGCTTGACTGAACAACTAGGCAGTGACAGCATCGAGGTCAAGGAAAGGTAGGTTATCTGCAGAGGTAGGTCGGCTGATTTGATAGCATGGCGACGAAAGTTGTCGAGAAATCGGAACACGATATTGGGATTTCAAATACTATACACAGTATAGCGTTATGCATAAATTGAGCCATGAGTCGTGTCCAAGTAGGCTAGGTGCTTGCATAGTCGAAGACGCATAGGTGGAGGGTGTTGATGTTGAAACGTCCTCAGTGGTCTGAGACGAATCATTTCGCGAACCCGAGCCCTTTACGACGATGGAGCATGTAGCAACACTCGGATGAAACCGGGAGGGTCCAGACTCTCGTACTCATACTCGTTGTGCGCTGCATCTTTCTGGGGAATCAGGCGGCCCTGGATGTTCCTGGTAGGCGATCCCGCAGTGTGGAGGCGCATCCTCGCAGCAGTAGCGCGACAGAGACATGAAACGTCATGATGACAAGGTGTCATGCTCTTGGACACGCAGTAGGCTGGCGGTGATCATCTGAGATGGACAGGATGGTGACTAAGCGGGTGATGGGTGAAGGGGTGGAATAATGATACGCGAGCGGGCCGGTGAATGGACAGAAGATGCTAGCAAGTGTCGTGGTGGTGCTGTGGTGCTGTCACATGCAGTTTAGCCCGTAGCGGTGGCTGCATGGCTTGGCAGTGGGGCTTAGACCGCCATGGGGCGCCCCCGTTGGCCGTGTTGGTGCCCAGGTGCACTCGCCACCCTTGGGCCGCTTAATACCCTCAACCACCCCAGGCCACCACCTCTCTCCTCTTCCCTCACACCCGCTCCTCTACTCTGCCTCTACCCGCTTCTCCGCGACTTTTCAACGCTCGCCCTCTCCATACACCAGCAGATCGCGCCAGTCGATTTCATGACCACGGACATCCAGAATCTCAAGTCCTTCGATCCGTTCGCGGAGGTCGACGATGCTGGAGGCGAAGTAAAGTCTACTCAGCAGAACTACATCCATATCCGTATTCAGCGTACGTATCTCTTCCCCCTAGCTCCCAAGCTCTGGCATCCCTTCTACACGATACTCGCACTCCTCACCGCGACATCGGCCGTAGTCGCCAATCCGCTGACCGGAACCCCCCTGGTCCGGCCCCAACAAATCGCGCAAGGCTGACGTCAATGTACCACAGAACGCAATGGTCGTAAGACTCTAACTACGGTCCAAGGCCTACCCAAGAAGTTTGATCAGAAGAAGATTCTTAAGGTCATCAAGAAGAAGTTTGCTTGCAATGGCACCGTCGTCGCAGACAGTGAGATGGGAGAGGTGATCCAGTTGCAGGGTGATCAACGCAAAGATGTTATGGACTTCTTGACCGACAAGAAGGAGGGCCTCGGCCTTGATGGCAAGACCATCAAGGTTCACGGCTTCTAACCGCGTCGAATACGCTATGCCTACCGCCGCTCCTCACGCCGAGCGACCGCTTCGAGCCTGACGACAACGAGACTCGTACGGCGGAGGAGGAGCATGCCGACACGTTGGACGCGTAGCACATACGATCCACGCTGCTGAGATGCGGTAACGGCATAGCAAGTATCCCGCGGAGGACCCACGGTTCCTCCGTATCTCGATTTCTCTTGGAGGAACAGACGCGGCTATCGGATGGTTTTTTTTTGCACGCTGATGTATCAGGTGCTGGCAGGATGATGGGAGGATAGTTCGTACAAGACAAACAAGATATTAGTCTTCTAGTCACGGTCAATCTAAAGAGTGTTTTCTTCACTACAACATGTTCCACTTTGCGTGCCTACTAACATTGTATGAAGGGGGGGTATCGAGAACAGTATTAACCAAAACGATGATGTTTCCTAATCCATATCCTCATCCTCCACCTCTCTTGCTCTACCACCATCATTGTCCTTCTTTGGCGCCTTGGCCTCCTGCTTCCTATACAAAGTCGCCAACTCCTCCGCCTCCGTCGCCTCCTCAATACTCTTATCTTCCCTCACCCGCAGGAACCGCGGAAACCTCGTACTCAGCCCACGCTCATCGCTCACCAGCCCAATCGCAGCCGTGTACGTAGGACTGAGCGTCAGATCCGCAAAAGCCACCTCCCATACCTCCTGTGGCTCAAACCACACGGCCGGCGTGCCCGCCCCACCATTATACTCCACATAGTGTGGCTTGCCGGGTAACACGGTAGTCGAGTCGGCATCACCGGGATCGTACTTGGCGCGGTTGGCTTTGTAAAAGGCGTCTGTGAAGCCAGACATGCACTTTGTGACTGCCTCGAGCTGGCCGGTTTCTGCGTTGCGAATGGCGAGGAGGATTGGGGACCACCATGCCGCTTTTCGGCCTGACCCGTGGAATGCCGCAATGGGTATTAGGTCGAGGGTTTCCGAAGTGGTGCTGTAGTCTTTCTTTACCTTGAGCCATGAGTCGAGGCGTTTATCGGGCTCATATGTTGATAGCAAGGCTTTGCGGCGGCCCGAGGCTTTGGGCTCGTCTGTTTCAGCCTCTGTGGATTTTCCTTTTGCTTTTGACTTGGTGGGTTTCTTTTTCTTCGGTGTAGGCGGCAGCGAGGATGTCTTTTCGAGGCCGAGTTCATCTATTTCGGCGAGGAGATCCGGGTTGGGGAGGTTGTCGAGGACTTTGACCATTATCCCTTCACATTTGATGTCTAGGGCGCCTTGGAAGAAGGACTGGACGGCTTCTACATCGGCGGATGTGGCGTCGAGGCTTTTAACCCAGGTGAAGTGATGAGGGATTTCAACAAACAGGCTTCGAAGTAGCGACCTTCGCTCTCTGAAGGGTCGGTTGAGAAGTTCCTCGCCGTTGAGGTACATGAGATCAAATGCGAAGAGACAGACATCAACCGTTACTGCTCCGATAACTACATCTTTTCTCGCGCGGTTGGCTAGTGTCTGGAACGGCTTGAGGTCACCACTCTCTCGATCAACGGCTACGACTTCACCTTCGAGGATAAAGCTCGACACGCCTTCGCCTCGTATCTTGGGTACGAGCGCCACCAAGTCGGGGTACTTGTCCGTCATGACTTCGAGGTGTCGCGAAAAGATTGTGACTTTGCCCTTTGCATCGCAATGCACCTGTGCTCGTTGTCCATCGTACTTGTATTCGCAAGCAAAATCTCGACCTTGCAGTTTGGTGAGCATCTCACCCATGTCACGTGTGATGCTACCCAACATGGGCCGAAGAGGAATGTGAAGGGCCAGGCCGCAACGCACGAGCAGCTCGTCGCAGACACCGATCTCGAGAAGTACGGGTATAAGGTCGTTGTAGTTTGGTCTCCGGGCAAAGCATGCTTTGACGATTTCCTCGTTCCTGCTGTAAATTTCGACCAGCTCCTCTTTCTTCATTTTCGCCATGTCTTTTCGGTCACGTGTCTCGAACTCAGCTCCCGGAGGCTTCGACAACATGAACGCTCGCGATAATGCAATGAGCATCGTGGTCTTGACGGCGCCTATGCGCAGATGCTGCACCAAGGTTCGTACGACGTAACGACTTTCTTCCGCACCTCTCGCATCTTGAACGAGTCTCTCGACGATTCTCTGTTTATTCTCAACACTGCCATTTCCCTTGCTATTTGCAATCTTGACCAACGAGTCGAAAACGCTCTTGATGGTCAAGGGTTTTGGTTTGCGGAGGGTAAATGACTGCTTCTTCTTTGCTTCGAATGCCACATCACCAGCGTCTCCGTGCTTGCTGCTCAATGCCTTTAAGCTTGCGTTGTCTAATCCGCACACCTTCTTCAACGCCTTGGAGATTGCGGACCCTCCAAGTCCTAGTTCAAGATCAATGTACGGTGGCGATATCGCGTTCGTGGAAAGCCAGACAGCCGGGAGTAGGCTGCTTGGGTCGCTCTCGATGATTGTTCGTAGTAGGTTGACAAGAGTATCTACAATTTTGATGCGACTCGTGGTGCTATTGATTAGAATGAAGCATCTTGTCAGAAGAGCATAGGTCGCGTGACCTCCATCGGCTACCCAATGCTTTTTCAAGTCAGGTATGTATTCCGCAGGATCAAATTCAAGCGGGCTTTGGTCGAAGGGTATATTTGCGGTTATTGTATCTTCTTCGGATGCGGTTGATTGTAGCGTGAGAGTATTCTTCTTTGGTGCAGGTGCAAGTTCGGGTGTTTTCTCCATAACAGCATCACAGGCTGGTGATTCAGATTTCTTTGCATTGCCTGAACCTTCATTCGCCGCCATATTCGTGGTACGCTTCTCCGGCTCTTCATACAACTCATCTGAGCTTCCAGGCACCACATTCTGACCCCTTTCGCGATCCTCCTTGTCCCATTGTTCCTGGAGTTTGCGGGCAAGTTCTTCGTCTGTCAATCCCGAGTAATCTTGCTCTGCAGGTGCTCCACTGGACGTAGGATCCGTAGGCGCATCCTTGGTTGTCGCTTTTGCCGCTTGCTTCGCGAAGAAGTAGTCTAAGCTACGAACCGGCTTTCCTGACCCATCATTCTTCTTTCTGCGCTTCAACGGGCTGTTCATAGTGTGAGTGTATTCCTGCGCAACGTGTTGGCAAATAAATAATGTTGTCTTATGCCAGGCGAGTATGGTACGTCATGTAGCGGACGCTATGACCATGCCAATCTCAACTTCACGTGCGCACGCGTCGCGTCACTGCAGCTATCATCGTTTGAGTCTCCTTGACAGTGATGATACAACTAACACATAACACGATACATCTGGACTATTCGAGGAGTTTCAGAATCTTGATTCCATTATGCTGATATACTACGTATCCGTGGCTCATGCTCCAGAAGGTAGATGTAGACGTTGATAACTTCATGGGCTTGAAACCTCGAAGAATTCCCTTTGCCTAGTCGCATATGCTTTCACTCCATACCTGAACCAAAGCCATATCTGCAACCCTCTCATTGAGTGCCATCTCTCATTTCCTCCCTCCTACAACTCATCGTAGTAGTTCAAGATGTCTGCCGAGCGAGGCATCTGCTCTGTAGCTCTGCGCTCATACCCGCTGCGATCGTACCCACTCGCACCACCATTCCTCGGAAAGCGGCTGTCCCTCCAAGGTACACCAGAAGCGCCGCTCCAAGACCTCAATAGACCCATGGTGTCATCGTCCGGACCATTTGTCCGCTTGTCATAGGCAGTGCCCCAGAGTTGAAACTCTCCGGTGTCCCTGTCGGTGTAGCCTTGTTGGCCGTCTAGCTGGGATCCGACGCCGTACTTGACTGTGACATGCTGTCATTCATCTGAAGAGTCAAGAAGTGAGAAAGGGATGTCTTACGAAAGAGCTTTGCGGTATCCTTCTGAAGGTCACTGACCAGCTTGCGTACGGCCTTGACGGGGCAGGTGCTCGTGGACGTGCGTAAGAGCTTGGTTTGACTGTCTTGGTTGCAAGTGAGGACTGCGCCAAACGATTTTGTTTCCTCATCCTCGCCGATCACAATGTCTTTTTCCTATATGTGAGCTTGGGGGGTTGTAAGGAGGATGTGGGTTTGTGATACCGTAGAATTTGCCGCGCTCGCTGCCGTAGAGAAGGCGACAGTTCCCCAGACTGATTTCCTTCAGGTTGTTGACCTTCTCGACCTGAAACTGTTCAGTAAGTATAGGAGATACAGTGCTGAGGAAGGCTTACCAGAATGGAGCTATCCAGCCATGAAGTACTGGATAGGTCGACGCTTGCCGCTTGCATAGCAAGCTCGCTGGGCTCCATGTTGTTGTTGTTCTGGCACACGGGAACTGACATAATTGTTTTAGAGTTTTTTGGTGCTTAACAAGTGGACCAAGTGCCTTATATATGTGTAGGGGAGGGCTGGGACGAGAAGTGACTACAGCGGCTTGGCGACGAAGTGAAGGTGAATGACAGTTATCTGCCTATCTCGATAAGATCACAAGTCACTCCAAAAAAGCATTCACTTACCTTCACCTTCGCAGCCACGCTATGTCATTGTTGCCCCCGAAGAGATGCAGTAGATGGTGAGAGACAAGAAGAACCGTGGCAGTCCAGATGATATAGGAAGCTGGAAATCGATCCTCAGAATTCTGTATCCATTCGAGTCAAGAATACTTGATTTTGACGCTGGTGTCAACGTGGATTGTATATGCAAGGTTATGAAATGACCTCTTCACCTTTCTCATGGACCAGGCGATGAAAACTACGAAATAGAAGAGCAACATCGAACTCTGATAACCGCTAGTAGACGTACAGCTCGAAAGTTGACACAACACATAGAAACATCTCTATCAAATTCCCACGTTGACATGTTGGCAAACACTCATATTCATTGTGTGTATGATGCACTATTGATATCCTCATCCTTCACACACTGCCATTCCCACCGTACGCAATCATGACCGCCCAGTGATGCCCAGACCACACCCATTAAACCCAAGTCCAAAAAAAGCCACCAAAATCCAGTCTATCGACCACACGCATCCGTACGTAAAAGAAGACGCCCTAAACACCATCTGCGTAAAGGACGGGGGGAATCGCTGAAGATAGGAGGTGAAAAGAGCATATAAGATCAAAAATACAGGGGATGAAAAAAATTACATCAGGTTACCTCCATTGCATCGCTTTCCCAATGCAGTACCGAAACACCAACGTCGGAATAAAAGCGCGTAGGACAAAGGTTGCCCTTGATGACCAAGGGAAGATAGTACATTGAACGGACGAAAGAAGAAGCGTCAAATAAAATCGCGATGAAAGAAAGGACTAGGGTCGTATTAGAAATCGGATATCCATTCCTAATCGATTTCAATGACGTTGTTTTGCGTCTGGCCTGGGCGACCTCCACGACCTTGTTGGTGCTGCATGTGCTGCCGCGCGTTCTGCATGTGTTGTGGTTGTCTACCGTTTGGTTGCTGAACTCGTTGGTTGGATTGTTGCATCCGCATCTGTTGCTGCCCTTGTTGTTGCTGACGAGCCTGATGTTTCTGTTGCTGTTGCTGTTGCATTCTTGCCTGATGTTGTTGATGTTGGTGCTGTTGCTGTTGCTGCTGGTGCTGATGCTGACTCCCTTGCTGCACTCCATTCGTCTTGGACATTCCTTGGCCAGGATTCTGAGCTTGCTGTGTAGGCCTCTCGAGCGGTGGAGGTGCGACATATCCACCCTCCATCTTGCAGCTCAGCACACATTCGTCTAGTTTGCGCAGCGCATCGGGAATCGCATCCAACTCCGCAACCATACCGTTCCGCGTCCCAAACCACCCTGGTCCTTTACTACTGAACAACTCCTTCAACTTTTCTTGGAGGTTGTCAAGTCGCCTATGGCCCTGACCACGTTCGGGCGTAGGGAGGACATTGGGATCTTTGGGACGTAGATTGTCCTCGACAAACCAGAATACCTTATCATCCTTGGGTTGAAGGCACACATCAAAGGTGCAGACGGGGTTCTCGTAAGTGATACGATACTTGAGAATGGAGTGAACATGTATCGCGGGATTTCGACAATTGCCAGGCGACCGTTGCTCGATTTCGCGGAAGACTTTAAATAAGGGGCGCGTGAGGACTAGCGTCGTGCAGAAACGATCCAACCCGTTGGCGTCATTGCGATCCAGGGACATGAAAGAAGGCAAGCGGTCGTTGGCAATATGAGTGAGCAGATTGAGGATGCGATGATGGGGGTTCTTGGATGACAGTTCGATTGTGACTTCCTTCTCCGAACTGAAATTGACCGTGGCAGTGTATGGCGAGGGCCCGTAAAAGAATTGGACACGTTGTAGCGAGGATGATGCAAGGCGCATTCTGCGTTTCTGGAGAGTCGTCGCGAAGCTACGAAGACGGTTGACGTCCCGTAATCGTGCACGCAGCTCCCCAAGTATGTCCTGTCCGAAGGGGGTAGAAAGGAGAATCCTGAAATTACCATCGTCAGAAAACTTGAATGCCTTTTGTGGTGAGGCGGCCATGAGTTTGTGCATATCTGCAGCAACTGACTTGACCATCTTTCCGGACGCCACGTGCCACACCTCCTGGCCACCAACCCGTAGACCTTCGCATGTGATCTTGATATCTGCTTCGAGCCATTTGTCGTCCCTTGTGCTGGGAGTGAGAAGATCTGGAGTTTGCACACGCAGGACCCATCGGCGAGCGATGCGCCGTCCTTGTGCGGAAGCAGGTGTCTGTCCCAACTCTTCCTCCAAAGCATACATCTTCTTCTCCTTCTCTAGTTGGCGTGCAGTGACACGGAAGGACAATAGTTGTACGGCGACTCTTTCCAGACTTGCTAGGGTGCTTCGATTGATTGGCAAGGGACTCTTGTCCGGCCTATTCATCCTAATTTGCTCTGCATGCTCGACGCGGTTACCAGAGGAGCCGATTTCGAGGACCCACCAGGACTCTCCCGAAGCGTCAATGATGGCTGCAAAAGCCCAGTTTGGCGACCATCCACGAGGCCAATAGAGAACTGACGAGATGACATCTAGCTTGACAGCCGCCTTGACCATTTGCGGAGTTAGCGACTGCCTTGCAACCGTTTGCCATCCAAGCTGCTGGGCATTTCTTTGAATCAAACCAAGTAAAGTGCCTGCCAGTACTTGCGTCATTACATGAGCCATCTGTGCTGGCTCCCTACCCAGGTTGAAGGCATTCTCGGCCCGTGCTGATAATGCACTTGCCGGCCGCATAATATGATTGCCAGTGACTGGCTCCAAAGACAAGGTGATAGAGGCTGATTTTGTTCCCAGGGTTGCGTTGAGCCTGCAGTCTCCCGGTTCGGCCTCGGACAGATCTGTCTCTGCAACAACTCCAGACTTCATGCTCTCCTTTGTGGATCGCAATATGTCGCTAGTATGGCGTGCAATGACCAGCTTGATGACTTTTTCCATGGAAAGATTTGTCCAATCAAAGGCAAAGTTTGCATCCTTTACTTCTCTTCCTTGGCGGAACCAGCGGGTGGTCAGAGAAGGTATTGGCGGGCCTCTCCACGAGGACTTGGCGTTGCTCAGCCTATTGTTAGAAACGCCGATTTCGATCCAGTTCTTTTTGCCGGGCTTGGTAGTCCAGTATTGTACGACAAGCAAACGATGCACGGGTTCGACCTTGAGGGATCCTGCCCATCCAGCACGAACAAGAGCAGCGGCCTGTGAGCGCAGAACCGAGATTTTGTGCGTTAGAATAAAGTTGTTCAAAAATTCAAAGAGGCCAGGGAGGCCCTTGTCCTTGAGCACAAAATCGGCCTGCTGTTTGAGCTGCATGAAGAAACGGCTTCCTACGGTCACGGTGGGCGCTGGGGTGAAGAGCAATCGCAAATCGATAAGAAACCATTGTTCTGAAGCATCTTCAACAAACGACATGACATCGAATTCTAATTGGCCCTTGATGGTAAAGGTAACCCGGCCAGAGTGAATGCGCCAGTTGCGAAGGTGTCGCGGCAGGTTTTCGTGCACGTTGAGGCGAATGGAGAGGGAGGTATTCATATATCTCAGCAGTTTTAGGGCTTCATCCGAGGAGATGGGTTTGGGGGGGATGTAGTCGAGGCTTGGCATCCAGGAAGCCTTGCCGGTGGAAAGCACTTGAAGGGCAGTCGCAATGTCTGGATTGTTTTCCCTAGCAATGTTGGAGAGCATCTTGATGCGTTCGAGCTGGTCATCAGCAGCATCCATGTTGCGGGCGTGCGCACCGGCCCACGAGAAGATGTCGATGAGCTTTGAGATGTCCGAGGCGGCCTTCTTGCCCCATTCGGTAAGGACCAGCAGCTTGATAAATTTGGAGCGCTGTTCCTGCGCAAATTGGAGGAGCATGAGTTTTTTCCTCTTGTTGGATTCAGCGTTTCCCTGCATGTTGGCAGCGCCAAGACCGTTTGGGAGGGCGCCGTTGGCCATGGGCGCGACGGGCAGGGCAGCCATTTTCTGCAGGATCGAGGTCAAGTCATTGTAGGATTCCTGAGATACGCGCTGCAGCAGGGTCGAGAGGGCGTTGTACTGCTCGGGGCCAATGTGGGCGATTTCGGGTGGCAGCTGCGAGTATTTGTCGAGCGCGGTGGATGCAGCGGACGCGCCATTGGGAGCAGCGGTGTTGGAGTCGCCATGGCGAGAGGCCGTGGCAGCGTCGGACGCGGTGTGGTTCATGATGAGAATGCCTGGCATGCTACGCCGCCAGAGCAGCAGCCCCCGGGCGCCTTGGCCGCACCCGTTGTGCGCGCGCCTGGTGGCTGTATGGGCAAGACGGCTGCGCTGCTTGGAGAGGGCGAGAAGGCGATGGTGATGCGGGCGTGCAGGTCAAAAGGCGAGGTGAGGCGAGGCGAGAGTTGGATGCGACGCGCAGGACCTGGCGACTGGGAGTGGCGCGGCGGGCGGACGGGGCGCGAGGGTGAAGACAAAGGAGCGGAGGGTTTGGGCGCGGAAGGGCGACTATGGCATTGTCGGCTGGGGCGGTTAGAGAGGGTGCTGGCGTGGATGGGGCTCGTCTGGCGGTGGGTGGGTGGGGATGCAAAGAGGGTGAGGTTGACGGCGAGACATCACATCAGCCCTGGCCTGGCCGGGGGGTGCCGTCTTGGCGTGCATTCCAGGGCGAGTCAGGCCGGGCAGGCACTGGAGGCATTGTGTGTGTGTGTGTGTGTGTGTGTGTGTGTGTGTGTGTGTGTGTGTGTATTTGTTTACCTACGTCTGTGTCCATGTAATAGTAGTATGGGCAATGGGCATATATGTGTAATTCTGTATACGTACAAATACCTAGTTAGATACATATATACATATGAATACACCTGCAAATGCACGTCCATTCACAGCACCGCATCAGCCCATGGCCAGCGCAGCCATCGTCACACGTCCAGGTCGTCGCCCGCCCAGCAGCGACCATGGGATCGCCCGCTGTCGACCCAACAAGCCCACCCCCCCAGCTGGCTGGCACATCCACACATGCCTCGATACACTCACACACCCTCCTCCTACAGATCCAGCTAGCCTCTTCCTGGCCATTGGGCGGCTGTCGTCTGCTGCGCATTTATCCGCCGCCTCTCCCTTCCCTTCGCAATGTCTCTGTCGCGGTGACGCTCCTCCGCCAATTAGTGTAAGCCCTGCTTGCTTCCATGGCACCGCGCGCGCCCGAGCTTCCGCCCTACCAGCGACCAGCCATCGCCCGAAATGCCTCGTCCCAGTCAAAGGCCTCGGTCCTCTCCATCTCCCAGTCCAACGAGGCAGACGATGAGCAGAGCCTGTCTGACCATCACCACTTCGACATGGAGGCTGCCCCAGACCGCCCCCACTACCATGGCGAGGACACGCGCCTGACCAGCGACAAGGAGCTCCGCGGCTTCTACATGTATGGATGGGCCGCTGAGGTACTTGCTACATCCTGCCTCCATCTCCACCATGGCCCTCCCCGCACCCCACTAACAATCTCCAGGTCTTTGTCGTCTGTGGAATTGGCTCCTTCATACCCGTCACCCTCGAGCAACTAGCCCGCGAAAATGGCGTCCTGCTTGCCGACCACTCCACACCATGCAAGGCCACGATACCCGCCGTGTCCCCCATCAATGCATTGTTCAAACCAGGCCCTGAAAAAGGACAATGCGTAGTCTACATCCTCGGCGTGGAAATCAACACGGCCAGTTTTGCCATGTACACGTTCAGTATATCAGTCCTCATACAGGCTCTGTTGATCATTAGCATGAGCGGCGCCGCCGACCACGGCAGGTTTAGAAAGACATTCCTCCTCTATTTCGCCTTCATCGGCAGCATAGCCACCATGCTGTTTTTGCCGGTAGTCCCGAGCATCTATATCCTGGGCGCATTCCTTGCCATAGTCGCAAACACATGCTTCGGCGCAAGCTTCGTCCTGCTCAACAGCTTCCTACCCCTTCTCGTGCGTTTCCACCCTACCGTCAAGTATGCAGACACCAGCGCCGCAACCTCCTTCATCGACGGGGACGAAGACGAAGACGAGCACGTAGACGTGGCTGACGACGAAGTCACGACCGAAGAAGACGACGAAAGAGGTGGAGAAACGCCCACCCAGGAAAACATAGTCCGAGACGCACGTTATGCCAACCGCATTGCAGAGCGTGAAGGCCTCCTTGAAGAAGTTGCAGATGCCACAACCGCACTGCTCCCCCATACTCCGCCAAGCGTCGACCTGACAATCCCAAGGCCAAAGGCCTCCAACGCTTCCTCGGTCGAACTTTCCCTCGCTACCAAAATCTCATCTTACGGCATTGCAATTGGATACATTGCCGCCTTGCTTGTCCAAACTGTGGGCATCCTCGTAGTCATTGCTTTCAAGTCTTCAAACTTTGGACTTCGCCTGGTTCTTTTCATCATCGGCGCATGGTGGTTTCTCTTTACTCTCCCGACCGCCCGCTGGCTTCGACCTCGCCCCGGCCCACCCTTGCACATTGGGGAGCAGACGTCCAATTTCCGCACCGCCCTCGCATACTTTAGCTACTCGTGGAAGTCGCTCGGCCGCACCGTAACCCATGCCCGCCATCTCAAGGATGTCCTGCTTTTCCTTGCAGCCTGGTTCTTGCTATCAGATAGCATAGCCACAGTCTCGGGCACAGCAGTCCTTTTTGCAAAGACGACACTCGGAATGCCATATGCCATGTTGGCCCTCATCAACGTCATTGCAACCGTCTTTGGCGTTTTAGGCGCTTTCCTCTGGTCACGCCTCTCGTCGTTTTTCCACTTGTCACCCACGCAAACAATCCTGCTCTGCATCTTGCTCTTCGAAACCATCCCCATTTACGGACTCCTGGGATATATCCCAGCAGTCCAGCGGTTGGGCTTCCTAGGTCTACAGCAGCAGTGGGAGATGTATCCTCTGGGTGCCGTTTACGGTTTTGTCCTCGGTGGTCTCAGCAGTTACTGTCGTGCACTGTTTGGTGAACTCATTCCTCCGGGTTATGAGGCGGCTTTTTATGCTTTGTACGCCATAACCGACAAGGGCAGCAGTGTTTTTGGTCCCGCCATAGTAGGCGCAATTACAGATGCCTATGGGGAAATTAGACCGGTATGTTTTCCTCTTTTTTTTTCAGTGGTCACAAACGACAGCAAGCTAATTTCTCTCTTCAAACAGGCCTTTTGGTTCCTAGCCGTTCTTGTCGGTCTCCCCTTCCCCATTATGCTCCTTGTCAACGTAGACCGCGGCCGCACGGAGGGCGCGGCTCTAGCAAAAACACTGGCGCAGCTCGCCCGTGTCAGCGATGCCCTCGACGACCTTGACGCCCAAGATACCCTGTCCGAGGAGATTCGAAATGATCTCCACGGCTCCTTTTCCTACCAACGAGGTGGCAGACAAGATATTTGATCCCATCTGCGCCACCTCCTCGTCCTTCTTTTTTTTGGGTTTAATTTTTGCATATCAGAACCACATACGTCTCTGTTGAATACACTTTTGATACTTTTTTGCTTGGCATATTGATTCCCGTCATGGCATGTGGGTGGGTGTTTGCATTGCACAAGGGCGTTTTCTTCCTCGGACTACATCTGTTGCTCGCTCGTCAATTGAAGAAATTTAACGACAGACTCTGGATACCTAATTGTATATAATGCATACTACGACAATGGGACAATGCCCATTTAGTGTATCCTCGTAATTGCATGTGCTCTCGTTTCTTCTTTGATTCCTCCCTCATTTTTGACGTCTCTCGCCCATTTATGTGTTGCATGGTTGCCCCATTTCGACCTTGACTCACTACACATGAATCCCGCTACCCGTCCAGATCAAACATCTCCCTATGCTCCTCCCTCGCCTCGTCATCCGGCAAATTATCCGCAATAATCTTCCACATCTCACGCGCAATCTTCTCTCGATTCTTAACCGTCCTCACACTCTTCTTCCACGCCTGCCCAATCGCTTGACGTTCTGCTGGTGTGACCTGTAGGTATTCATATCTTTTTAGTAATTTTGTTTCCTTATTCCAAAAAACAAACAAACCCAGTCATCTCAATGGCTGAATATGAACACGAAGCAAAACAAGACGAGAAGAAACTCACAATCCTCGCCTTCCCCTTCCTCAACCCATCCAGCCTCTCTTCAATCTCCGCCTTTTCCTTCTCCAGCAAATCCATGTTGGCGATCAAGTCCGCCGTACTCAACGTCGACGTCACAGATGCAAGCGTATACCGCAGATTTTTGGCCGTAGCATTCAGTGCTGCCGTTTGCGTACGTAGATTGGCTATTTCAGCGTCGAGGGTTGCAAGTCGTTCCGTTGTACATGTGTCTGCTGCGTCCTACATAGTAGTCAGATTGGTTAGCTCTGTGGAAAAGTAAGTGGGGGAACAAGGGAAATGAATGCCCTAACTCACCTGTAGAGCATGATATACGATCTGCTTCCCTACATTCACACAAAGATGATATCAGTTCCTCCGTTGTATGTATCATTCGGACAAAAACCAAGGCGGCAAAGTAAAGACAGCACTTGACATACCTGCTGTCCTTCCCTCAATCAACTTTTGCTCGTGTAAATCTTTGAGAATCTTGGCTGCGGAAGCTACATCATCCGTCAGTCCCGCCTACATCAAAAGGAGCATCATAGCATATTTGTGTGTCTCGAGAAACGTACCTTTGGTCACTTTGTTATGCAGGTTGGCTGAGACGTCGATGGCCGAGTACGGACGGTTCTGCTTGCCTATACAAACGGTGTTATCATGGAAGTCATTACGCGTAGTATGTGTGTGTGTGTGTGTGTGTGTGTATCTCAGAGGAAGATGCACTCACGCAGGTAGAGTAGCACCATGTCTGCTGCTTCATTGGCCGAGGCCTTTTCTTCAGTCTTCTTACGTGGCGCCATCTCGTACTTTTCAAGTGTATGGAATGAGAGTGTGAATAGTTTTGGTTGAAAGGCTAAAAAGTTGAACTTCTCACTGTGAGATGGCGCCAAGTCTTGTGCATGTTGTGGCAGGAAGGAGTCATCCCCCGACTGAGGCAGGAGCAAGTGTTTTGGCTATTACCTTTCCCTCCTTGGGATCTTTCAAAACTTGCAAACCAAACATCTGCTGTGATGTTTCCCCGTACACTTTACGATAGACCAAGTAATATACAGATAATCACTACATCCAGGTGATTGATGCCTTAACCTCCGCGCTCACCATACTGTGCGGCCCAATCTTCGAATTCCTTCAGTCCCTGTTTACTTACCGACGGTCGGATGGTCTGAAGACTAGCCTCAAAGTCTCGGTATTGTATTGGCCGTATCTGATCCATAGTCATAGAAAGTAACTTTTCCCCTAGTGAACGCAAAGGACCCATGGCAGCGTCTTTGGCAAGTGCTGTGATATCAGACCCAGAAAAACCTGTTGTGATATTAGCCATATGCCTATAAAACATTGATCGCATACACTCACCTTCAGTCAGCTCTACCAAACGATCGAGGTCCTCATCACTAAGCTCATGTTTCTGATGACTCAGCAGCGTTTTGATCTGCTGCTTCCTGACCCAGTCCTCTGGCAGTGGGATATATTGTCGCCTTACAAATCTTCGTCTTGCTGCTTCGTCAATAGCCCATGGAAGATTCGTTGCAGCCAGCACAAGCACTCTACTAGCATCGCCCTTCTCTTTCTCCCGTTCAGTCACTGCACTTCCAGCAGCCGCCTTTTGCAGATCAGACCACTGAATGAGAAATTCAGTCTTGATGCGACGTGTTGCTTCATGCTCCCCAGAGCTGGACCGTGACGAAAGGAGTGAATCAATTTCGTCAACAAATATGATTGACGGCGCAAGCATCTTAGCCAACTGGAATAGCGCACGAACAAGTTTCTCTGATTCGCCCAGGAATTTGGATGTTAGACTGCTTGCAGAAATGGCGAAAAACGTTGACTTTGACTCAGTTGCCACCGCTCTTGCCAACATTGTCTTTCCGGTTCCCGGAGGTCCAAAGAGAAGCATGCCGCGTGCTGGCTCTCGCAAACCCATGAACAGATCCGGCCTCAAAAACGGGTAAACCACTGTTTCCTTCAAAGCTGATTTTGCCACCTCCAATCCCGATACATCGTCCCAGTGTACTTCGTCTCCCTGTATCACAATCTCGTTCAGGATTTGCTGCGCTGCTTGCTTGTCGACACCTCGCGGAAGATTCTTCATGATTTCTTCTGTTCGTCGTTTCCATTCGTCCATCTCTTCTACTTCTTCCTCGCCCTCGGCACTGTCCGTGCTCGGGGTATCGGGTAGCTCTGCACGAATCGAGTTTCCTCTACCTCTGACCTTTTGTACTGGAGACCGTCTTTGTTTGGCAACGTTCCCGTCAGCTTCAATTGCTATAGATTCAGACAGATCATCTTGCTCGGAATCAGTTCGTGTGCGCACGTTGTTATTTGCAGGTTTCGGTACTAGTCGTCGTGTGGTTGGATCCCACATGACACTCCCCTTACCACCTCCTCTCTCAACACCACAATCGCCATATGAGTGTGCCGCTGCCGATGCAGCGAGGTTTCGCGGATCGGGCATAGTTTTAGGATATTCGTTTCGGTACGAAGGCAATGCTATGCTTCCCAATGGCGTGCCCACCAATCGTCCTGAATCTACTGATTTTCGGGGAACTGGCGGTGCTGCTCGCTCAGCAGCTCGAGTTCTGGTAGGCTGAGGCTCATTATCATCGATAGGAACTGAAGCTACATGAGCAGTGAATGCCGAGCGGTGGTCAGCTCTTGAAGAGAGCGGTGCTTGTACGTATGGCAGTTGCGACTGAGTATTCGAGGATATGTTCGGCCTTTCAGCAGCTGACTTGTCTATCGATGAGCGTACTGAAGCAATCGTTGAAGAAGTTGATGGGTTTGACGGGCCCAGGACAGGGCGGCTCGAAGCTGATGCGGTCCTGACAGTCCATGCTTGAGTAGCTGCTTTTGAAGCATCAGGGCGGCTCCTCAACGAGTTGGGCATCTTTCCTGATGATGATTTACCCTCCCTTCCAGGTCTCAGTGTCCGCAATAATCTACCGCTTTTCTCTGGGGATGGTGTACGCGCTTTGTTCTCGCCTACAGGGCCTGGGGACAAATTTGATGCGCTCCGAGTCTGTGATAGGCTGTTTTCTCGTGTTGACCCATTGCCAGAGCTTTTGCGAGGCACCATCGCGGGGCGCAAAGGTAGCGGTGGCCGTGAGAGATCGGTATAATCCAACGGTGGTATAGAACCATTCCCGAGCCACGAAGAAGATGGGTTCGCTCCATTTGGTGATTGAGCCGCTCCATGAGACGGTGCAACTGGTGTATTCGTGTCAGACGACACTGAGGTCAAGCTTTCCCTCGAATCCTCTCGGCTCCTTTTCAAGGTTTCCAAAAGGTCTACACGCTCCTTGCACTGCAGTTCTAGCTGACGTAGCGATTCGATGAGCGCTCTCTCTGTTTCGGTTGCGGGGCGGTATGTCGAGGGGTTGCGACGAGAATTATGGTAATTGATATGGTCGAGGGCTGTCCTCCAAGATCGCAATGCTTCTGGCTCGTTGTTCTGTGAGGACTCTGGTTAGTGTTCTCCCTCGTACGCGACATTGTTGGGTTGACAGGCGCTGACCTGGCTCTCAAAGTACACTGCGGTCGAACAGGCCAAGAAAGCCTCATCGTAGGCTTTCTGGGTGGTGTTGGCGCGCATAGCGAAGGAAGTAGATATTGCGCGCTCACTTCAAGTCGTCGTAGGATGCGGAGACAGGAATAGGTGTCTATCACCAAGGCCTGGGCTGGTATTGGCAGGGTCGTCTGTTGCATGCGCCAGCCTTAGCTTCGCGCTGGGGCGTGACGTAGTTGGCTGCTGCCCAGTGCATATTCGCAACCTTGAAGGCTGAGTAACGGCAACCGAGCAAAACAAAAGAAGCTGCTGCGGTGGCGTTTTTCAAACATGGGCAACCCACCACCGTAAGTCAGGTTCAACTTCATGAATGCTTGCACTTGCAAAAGAAATCCACGAGACATGCGCATGTGCATGCGAAAGTGGGGTACACGACCAGAGACTAAACAGGAGCGGGCCGTCGTCTATCGATTACGCACCTACAGAGAAGCTTACCACAATAAATGCAAAGGTTCCAAAAAAGATTAATGTAAAGACTTCAACTCTTTTGCAAGAATATGTAAGCCACAACAGCACTGCCATTCAAGCAGTAAAAGACAAACTGTGCAAGTCGTGAAAAAGTCAACAGGTTTGTTGTGAGCGGTGCCGGTCTTGAATTTCTCCTATGGTACAATTATCTACGCAAGCCACCATGCGCTCACATAACCAAACGTTTAGACGCTGCCAGATGAAGCGTTTGGAAGAGCCTCAAAGCCTCTCTCACTACACAATGCCAAGTAGGGAGTATCGCGACACATCTTCTCGCTCTGCCCGCTCTATACAGAATGCTGGACCTCGTCGCAAATGCCCAGTGCTGCAGTAATATCCTCTCCGCGACGCCGCAGGTATATTATTCGATTTGCAAAGCGCGCATCGTCATACTATGGCGATTTTTGTAAATGATGCCTGGGAAAGGGGCCAGTCTGCATCTTCGTCTCGTTATATAGCCGTGGACGAGTTCGTACTTCTCCGAATAAAGAAGGCCTTCGCCATCTCGTATGCAGACCTACTTTGGGTTAGAAAATACCAGACTAGGCGATTTGCAAAAGAACTTACCAGCAAATGGCAGTGCTGGGCATCGTGGTGATGATTCGAGGCTTCAAGCCACGGAAATATCCTCTATAACCTTCTCTTTGGTGGATGATTTTTGCAGCTTGCACCAGACCCGAGACGTTCTTCAGTTCTACATCCCTAGCATTTCCTCGCGTTTGTAATAGCGTCTTGATAACATCGAGTGGTGTGGTAAGGCCTGCTGCAAATCCACCTGCAACACCGCCCGCAAAGCAATGTGTATAGGGATCGTATCGGCCGGTAGGGTTCATGACTTTGGAGAGAGATTCGTATGCCATGAATTGCAGGGCTGTGAAGGGAACCGTCATGCATAGTGTTGTGGGGTAGGAAACATAGAATGCGCCAATGCCCTCTGTGCGGAGGACCTCGCGGGCGCATTGCGGGACAGACTTGTATATCGAGCCGTGCATTTGCATGCGTTGTTTTATGACTGCGGGGTTCAGCAGACGCGGGGTGCTGTGGTACTATGTCTCTTACCGTCAAACGGATTCATCAATGCATCGCTGGAAATGGTGGCTGCGGCACCGCTAGCAGCTATCGACAGTTAGCAAGTGCTCGCTAGAATGCGAATGTGGGTGGCACTGCGCACCTGCTGCAAGGGGGTGGTGTTCGTGGCTCTCTCCTTCGTTTCCGCCGAGAGCATGCTTCGTGGCCTCGTACGATGCAAAATAGACAGCATGCGCGGGGCCTGTATCATCAGTCAGCTACACTTTGCCATGGTCTACGCAGTTGTTTGCGTACCCGCGCCCATTACAACACTAGACAATCCTCTCCATAACGACCAGAACCCTTCGGCTCGGGATATGGTGACCATGGCGTTGGAAATACCACTATACATGGCGCTTGGCGAGGGGTTGACGATTTGCATTCTGGTCTGTCGACAGTCAGCGCATGGCTCGGAGGCTGTGAGTGAGCGAGAGGCATGTTGCGCACCTTGAGCAAATCTACCGGGTACATGACTGAGTGTTCCTGTCGTCAAGTCAGCCAGGGCGAGTACATGGCGGCGGCGACTCCGGAGGACGTACGGCGACACCCGCAAAGGCGCCTGCGAGCATGTTTGCCGTGAGGGAGAAATTTGGTGGGAGTGCTTCATAGCTGGCGCGCAAGTTAGCGATTGGTGTCTTTCATGGCGGCGGTGCAATGGAGCTGTACTCGTGCTCTTCTTCGACAGGAACTGCGGGTGGATCATGGGGGGCCATAAGACGGCCGGCTGCAGGTGCCGCGGATTCCAGGTTGGCGGCTTGAAGAGAGGCAATTGGGAAGGGTTCGTGATAGGTCCCAGGGTGGTGCAAGCGGGCGACGGCGGTGGGTTGACGCTCGTGGGAAATTGAAGTTGTCACTTTTGTTTGCAACTAGTAACGGAAGCGCGAGATGACTTCAGCCGAACGCCGAGACGTCAGACCTAAAACGCGGCGGCCGGGGGGTTTGACTCTATCGACCATCAACTTGGCCGTTGTTATCAGTCGCTGCGATGCCGGAGCCTGATGGATGGCCACGCTCGGTCTGCGCAAGCCAATGCGTATGCGTGCCACGAGGCTGTATCTATGTACATACAAGACATGCTTCACTTAGGCGCCTCTCGACTGGCCAGCCGCCACCACTGCGGCAAATGCATCCAGACAATTTTGCACATGGCCGCGGAGATGGAGTACATTCTGAGTGCGACAGCGAGTGTCTGCGAAAGCCAGCCGGGGATGCGAGGCGAGGCGAGGGGAGAAGAGTTGTGGTAGCTTCCCTCCAGTATCTTATCAGATCATCTCCGCCCACATCTCAGGCCAGTCACAACGCCTGTTTCGCGGGCGCAGACTACGCGAATTGTATTCTACAAAAGCTTGTCTTGGGTGGTAGTGGTGGTGCACCATGACTCCGCCACCACCCCCCACCTCGTTGCCAACGGCTCACGGTAGCGTACTGTTCTACTCTGCTCTACTCTGCTCTACTCTGCTCTACTCTACTCTGGACCATCCGGCTGATTAATGGCCAATATCGGCATCAAATAAGCCGCGCATAGGCCTCGACTGCCATGACTAACCAAATGCGACATGAAAATTGACAGCGTTTCACTGTTGCGCATGTGACGATGAGCCGAAGCAACCAGCTTTACCCTGTGTATCGTGTAGTATGAGAGCGGACATAATTTTGAACCCTCTTGTTTGCAGCCGCAAAATCGGTGCGGCTTCGGCCCGCCAGGATTCGGAGCAGTGGTGCTTCTCGGTCGGTCCAAGTCGGAGATAGCCACCCAGCACCGACGGTGTGAAGCTTTGATCACTGCTGTTGCTGCAACACCACCACTATACTAGTATTTTACTTCATATGCATTTTGGTATAGTAAACTCGGTGTTAGCGGATGTATCGTATCCGGTCATTGTTTAAAACAACATTGTAGTCGTTGTATTTCGTGGCAAAGGTGGCTCGTGTGGTGGGCTAGCCCGCTTGGTCTCACCAGTGGACAGAGAGGGTCGTTGCAGCGCACAGGTACAATGAGCCCTCGGTCTCGATCACTACAACAAGCAATAGTCTCCAGCACCCTTCATGACACGTTACAAAGCACCATGTTGGTCAACACCACAATGTCGTGATCCGAGATACTAGAGGTCCTCTAATTTCAACTGGGTATCAGCAGTCGCACCGCTTGTGCCACCGGGGGAAGCTGACTACATCTCTGATATTAGAAACACCCGCCAGGTAGCACAGAAGCCGATCAAACCCAAGGCCAAACCCGCCATGCGGGACGCTGCCGTATCTCCGGAGATCGACATACCACTGTAGGGAACCGTCTGATGCGTCGGTCGACTCGTCAGTCGTGTGTCGGAGGCCATGGGCCTCCATGGACTGGACAAGATCAGGCAGCCTGTGTTCGCGCATCGAGCCCCCCACAAGCTCACAAATCTCGGGTACAAGTAAGTCGAAGCACGCGACTGTTGATGCTGCGCCACCATCAGCTGTTGCGCCCGTCGATGGCGCCATGTAGAATGGCTTGATGTTACGTGGGTAGTCAGTGACGAAAACGGGCCCGCCGTTGCCTATACTTTCGGCCAGGAAACGTTCGTGTTCGGTCTGGAGGCCGTCTTCATGGCCAGGCGCGTACTCAAATTCGGCCTTGCCCTGAGATATAGCGTCCTGGAGGTGCTGTACGGCGGCTTTGTAGGTAATCCTTGGCCACGGCCCGGCTATCAACCCCTGCCACCGTTGTGCGAGCGCATCATGCGACACAGATGCGCTCTCTTGTTCCTGATCCCGCGCCCGCGCTTCAAGGAGCTCCTGGCCTACAGCCGAGGTTTGCAGCTCAGAAGCAATGGAGCGCAACATGTCCTCTACCGTGTCCATGACAACATTGACATCGTCGACAAAGGCCATTTCGGCTTCTAGCATGTAAAACTCACTAAGATGACGGGCCGTATCACTCTTTTCGGCACGGAACGTGGGGGACAAAGTCCAGACCTTGTTCACTGACTGAGCCAGAGCCTCAAGGTGGAGCTGGCTCGAGACTGTCAGGTACTTTGGAGAACCAAAAAAGAAGTCTTGATGGGGATTAGCCTTGTTGGTGGAGATTTGATCATGTGCAGATGGTGCTTCGGGCGCCACAGTGAAGACCTCGCCTGCGCCCTCGCAATCCGAAGACGTAATGATTGGCGGATGACATTGGACGAAGTCGTGTTTCGCAAAGTGGTTTGTTACTTGAGCTGTGACCAGAGACCTCAACCGCAGGATAAGCGAGTTGAACGGCAGTCGACTTCGCAGATGCGGGAGAGTGCGAAGAAACTCTGCGGTCTGGAACTTTTTCTGTATTGGGTAGGTCTGAGACGGAGCAACACAATCAGATGGTGAAGATAGTCACTGTAGATCACAGTAGCAAACTCACGGTGGCATCGTTGTCTCCCAATATGCGCACATCAGTGACCTGGAGCTCATGAGACTGCCCCTGGCCTGGTGAAGGCGTCCATTTGCCGGTGGCTGTGACTGCGACGCCGGTCGAGAGCCTGATGGAGCGGCTTGTCAGCGCCTGGACGAGCAGCAGTAGAGGCGGCGACTGACCCTTCTGCTAGCTGGGGAGGGAGGACGGCCTGGACGGTGCGCAAGGTCGAGCCGTCTCCAATGGCGGCAAAGGCAATTCGCTTCTGCTTGCGCACAGTGCGCACATAGCCGTTGACCGTCAGGGTGGCACCATCCGGGAGAGGCTGGCGTGCAGAGGGTGAGTGTGCAGAGGGCCTCAGCAGCTCAGCAATGGTGCTGGGGCGAAACGTTGAAGTGCAGCGAGGACGACATGTCGGCCATGCACTCGGCCAAGGAGACGCGGCGCTGTGATTTGGAGACGTGTGCTGAGGGCGGACAGGCGTCGTCAGCGGGCGCAGGACGCACCTCATTTACGCGGCGGCAGATTGCACCGGTCGAGCAGTGCGGTGTAGCGTGTAATATACAGCAATGGGTGTTGCCGTTGGCGTTGACGTTGTGTAGGAAGCGAAGCTTGGAAAAAGCGAGCTGGCGCTTGGGCCTCGCGCTAGGATCGCGTCAACCTGGCCGTTCTTGGGCGCTCGTCAATCGTTCGTGTGAGCGACCGGCCGCCCGCCCTGAAACGCTAGGCCGCGAGCAGGGGAGTTGCGGACATGAGTAAGGAGTCGGATGCTTATGTATCGACTGGGAATCATACTTACGTACGTGCATGGATACCTACTGACTACATACACATTCTATGAACAGACTTTTAACATGTTTGTAGCACGAGATTCAGCCCTGGCATTTACACACAACATCCACACACTCATCCACACATACATGCGTATACACACAACACCGCAGCCGCCACAGCTTGCTGGCAAAAGTATATATATACATACTACATGTAACTACACCTACGTATGTACATGTATGTCAGCAGCCCCCCCCCCCTCTCCGCCACCACCACCGCCGCTCCTCTCTGCCTGCTGGTGCCACCTGGCTGGCGGTGAGGGAAACACGCACTTTGTGGCACTGTGGCCCGGCTACGTGTGGCGGGCTCGACGGTAAGCAGCCATTGATTCGATGTGCCATGGTGCCCTGCATCTGGATTCTAGTGCCGACGCTATTGCTGCGACGCTATATCGTGCAGGATCTTGGTTACCAAGTGCTAGTAAGCTGTCATCATCGGCTGCCCAGCGCCGCCAGATCCTTCTAACCCGCTTCCAACCCGATGCAGATCGCTTCGAGGTCTGGCCGATCGATTCAGCCACGCATCCCTGCCTTGCCCGTCCCAGCAAACCCGACACGGCTCTTTGTGGCTTCAGGTGCCTGGCAGCTGCCTGGGTTCACAGCAGTGCCCCCAGCACCAGGACCAGGCTTGCAAACACACGGCACGGCTGCTACCGGCCACCTAGTACATGCATCATGTCTCCATCCCTCCAACCGCTGTCCCCGTGTCTGCTGCCAGAATGCCACCCCTCGCGCGCCCAAACCCACAGGGGTCTGCCAGATTCACGCAGACGACTGCCGCTTCTGTAGCTGGTGCATTTCTGCTGCCCCAGTCTAGTCGCCGACTCGATCTGGGGCTACGATCTAGCTTGCCTTATTACACGCCCGTTGCAAAACCCGCATTCGACTGATATACTGTCCCTTGGCCGGTCTGGCGCCGTCTGGTCACAGGTCCTCACTCACTCGCTCCCTCTCCCTCCCCCCGCACTGCCTTGCTCAAGTCTCGTGCTGCTGTAAATCACTGTCCTCGCCCTCCTTCCCGTGTCGTTGTTTCTCCAGACTCGTCCCTCGACTTACCTTCCCTTGTTGCTCTGCCAGCCTCAGCTCACGAAACAGCCAACACTCCACCTACGTCACCGTCGCCATGCCACAATCAAGACCAAAACCCTCTGAAATAGCAGCCGAAGCAAAGCGAGTATGGATGCCTCACATTTGGAAACACTACATTCGAGACTCCAAGACGTCATATCTCTATCCAGATTCTGCACAAATACGAGTCAATGTCGACAAGCGCTCATCACAACGAACCAGAGTCGCGGTCATGGAAGGCGACCCTGTCAACTATGCCCTGGGCTGGTACCAGAGTGCTCTCAATGCGGATCCAAACTGCAAGAGAATTCCTGTGGTCAATGTAGCCAACGAAAAGCGCGCAGGTGGCGACTGGGAATCTGGCCTTATGGCTCCAGAAGAGTGCTTTGCGCGGAGAAGCAACCTGGTCCACGCTCTCACCATGCCCTGGAACGCACAATTAGGCGTTGAAGAGAATTTCTACCCCATCCCACAAAGAGGTGGCATCTACTCTCCCGAAGTGTGTATGTTGGGGTGCTAGCCAAAAGTCCGCCTCGGCACGAGACTCACTACTAACAAGCCACAGACGTTTTCAGAGCCGGTCCGGAACAAGACTACGCACCTTTTGCAGACATGGCCTCACTTCCCGTGATATCAGTCGCTCCAGTGCGGCGTCCAAAACTTGACGAGAGCGGTTGCAAATACTCATTTGCACAAGAACGAGAGTTGATGCGAGAGAAGATGCGAGCAGTGCTGCGCATCGCATCCTACTGCGGCCATCGAAACTTGGTTTTGGGCGCGTTTGGTCTCGGACCAATCTTCCGCAACCCGGCGCAGGAAGTAGCGTGCATGTGGAGACAATTACTCTTTGAGGAAGAAGAGTTCCATGGCGCGTTCCAGGATGTAGTCTTTGCCATTGACAGTAGCATGGTCGGATCACCAAGCAAGGGCTGCATGTCTGACGTGGACATTTTTAGGCGCGAGTTCGATCCTGCCACCATTTGGCCAACAAAGTGGTGAAAGGGTGACAAGATTTGACTATCATTCCCCCTCAAAAAAGACCGTCGGGAATGAGGCGCAACAAAGAAATCAACAGTCGCGTGTGCCACGTTTCAATTACAAGGACACACGGGAATTCCGCAATCAAGGGCAGTACGAGGTTGCATTACGCACATACATACTAAGTACACATATACTACTCACACATGCATGCATACATACCGTTCATGCTGGCAATCACAAAAAGGCGGAAATAACCTCCGCGCAGGCGCAGGAGAGAGACAGCCGATAGAGTGGTAAAAAGAGCGAAAAAGAGGAAGGGAAGGGCCAAAATGGACCTGACTCGGTCATGAAGTCATGGGATGTGTGGTGAGTGGCAGGTGGGCAAGGTGGGGTGGGGGGAGGGGCGGCGGTACCTCTCTTTGGTTCTGCACACAGAGAGATAACCGAGACGAACAAAGGTCAGATCTCGCCGAACCCGACAAACTCTGACCAGGTGGCGCGATTTGGGGCCTTGCTGCTCGATGCTGCGGCTAAAATGCTGCCAACGCCTTATCTTGGAGAGGGGGTGGGTGGGTTGGGAAAGTATAGTGGTAGCCAATCAAGTATTTAATATACACATGTATTAGGTAAACTATGGACGGCAAGTCATCTTTTCTTTTTGCTTTGCTTTACTGTGCACTATGTGCTTGTGGTTTATGAGAGCACATCTTTGTAGTCAGGCATAGTCTTTATTTTTGCCTCCATCCATCCAATTTACTTTTTTGGTGATTTGCTTTTCGCCTTGTTCACGTGTAAAGCGACGTTAGAGAAAGCGGGTCATCAAGTCGCGGGGGGAAAAGGTGACAAGGACGGGAAGGAAGGAAGGGAGGGGAAAAAGAGAGGGAATCCATGTGTGCGATAAAGTGTTTCTAATCTGCAACCAACGCCCTTCCCTCCCCTCCCCCACTTTCCGATTGCTGGTTGCCTTCTATTCATCCTTTCTGTTGACCTCCTTCAGAAAATTCGCCCGATTCGTTCCTTGCTTGTTTCCATACAACCCCACATATCCCAGCCCCGGGTCATTTTTTATTTCAGGGAGGAGGAGGAGGAGGAGGAGGGGTGTGTGCATGTTGCTTGCTGACCGGGACTCCTTTTCCCCGGTTCATCCTTACTTACCTTGCTTTTCCCTTTCGTTCCGCAGAACGTTGGACGGACAATCACTCACTCACGCACTCACACACAGACCCCCGCCGTCCCTTCCGCCGCCCGTTCGGCCGTTCTCCCAACTCGTCTTACGTGCGTAACTCAAACTCTCTGGTTGCAAGGGAAACCCTTTTTACTGTGTATAACTTTACTGGTTTGTTTTGTTTTTTTTTGACTTTTGTTTCCTCCCGTTTCGCCTCGCTGCAACGGCGTGTACTCCGTCTTACGTGCGACGGTTTTTCTCTCTTTTTGAGAACCTCCTGGGGCTTTCAAACGCTCTCTGTTCTGTTTCTGGTGCTTTCCGCTTGCCCCCCCCCCCCCCATGCCCCAAATTAGACTTCTTTGATTGACCACTTATATGTACACATTCTCCAAAAGGAGTCATGACCTGCTTCTTTTTTTTTTTGCCGAAAGCAATAAAGGTACTTGTTTACACATTTATATGTAGGTATTGCGCTAGCCTTTTTTCCTTTCTCCCCGGACGGGTATACTTAACCTTGATCCTTACCATTTCCTTTCACTTTCTCTCTTTTTCTTTGGTCTTTGCGACCGAGGCAGAATGCGCACGGGACAAGTGAAGGGCCAAGACACGGGATGTAGATGCCGATGAGATTTGGACGGGGGTGCACTCGCTATGGTTGCTCCTTGATGAATAATGTACCTGGCGGGGCCGTGCGTCTGGAGTGCATGGGAGCTAGAGGGGAATGTGCACGCTTGTTTAATCTTGGTTGGGTATTTCGACATAGTGGTACGTAGATGAGTCGTGGTCATGGGACTGGATGGTTAGTGCACGTGTGTGTGGTAGCAATTTATTTCTACCTGCTAGTACGTAGCAAAAACTTTGCTTGCCCAACTTCGATAATCATCTTTCATTTCGTTGGGGGCACGTATAGTTTGCGGCCTGCAACTTCTCTCGGGGATGTGCCTGCATGGCTTCGGGGCCGGGTGACGACATTGTGCCATGTTGGCGCTTAACATGTATGGAAGCAATAGGGTTTCGAGGGCGCATCTAGTCGGCCTCAACATCCATGTCCGTGTCCATTCGGACTTGGTTTTACTCATCTTTGTAACTGACAAATAAGTTCGCAGGTGGATAGTTCGGGCTTTGTTCTGCTGCATTGGGGCATGCATACTTACCGACTGTGAGTACATGTGCATGTGCATGGGCCCCTTGATTAAAGAGTTGTGGAGAATGTGATGGGTGAGGGGCACTTTGCATGTGATGCATGTTGGAGGGTGAAGAAGTGCCGACTTTGTTGGCCCTTTCACTATATGCATCCTTGAAGTATATTATGGCAAGGTTTGGAGTTATATACCATTTTGAGTCAAGCTGGCTCTCGTTTCTGTGGTGCACGCCATGCTGATCCTGCTCATCTGCAAGCGGGCTAGGGAATCGTGTATATTTACTACTGATACTACTACTGGTACTACATATCGTACATATTGTACATGGTCATGAGCGGCGTCAAAGGAAAAACAAGACTACTACTCAAGGCATATGAGCAAATCTTTGAGTAGTGCCGCGAATTACCTGTTCTGACTTGGTAGAGGTAACTGCGGTGCTGTAATCTCGCCGCCTTGCATTTCAATTTTTTTGATGGTTTGCTCGCGTTGGTAGTTGACCACTCGTTGTTTCTTGAAGTATTCAACCTGGTATTTGTTAGCATTGCTCTCCCCCATCCATCCCTGCGGTCCTAGACATGTGATGCCGTCACCCAACACTAGACCAAGTAGCAACTCACCCAGCTATGTGCGCAGTTCTTCTCAAATTCCTTGTCCAGCTGTCCACAAAAACTTGCAGCTTTTTCCCTTCCAGACTTTGTGTTTATGCTATCCAGGATGTTGTTCTTGTCGAGGCATTCGAAAAAGGCGTCGCGTGCTGCATAGCATTGTTTGCGATTTGACCGTGAGGGTGACTCGAATGCGCCGCCTTCTGTCTTCTTGACGCCGGAGTCGTCCTTTGAACTCGAGCCGAACCAGCCCATGGTTGTCGAATGTCAAGTTGCGGAGAAGGGCGCGGCGGAGTCGGAGATGGAGGCGGAGGTAGGAGGTTGAAGCTGGCGCACGTGTCAGACTGGGGCGGTATAAATACTTTACATGAATTGGATTCCAGAATTGCGTACTTTGGTATAGTGTATGGCGCAAGGCTCTTTGGTAGAGCTGGTATGCAGGGCTGTCGGTATTAATGTAGAGCAGAATGTCGAATTGGTGCTTGGCAAAAGTTCCCACGCTATGACATCGGCGCTGACGCTCTACGTTTCGCCGAACCCTTCCAGCGAACCATCCGCGAACAGGCAACCTTGCCAACTAGTAATACAGGACCAACCGACGTGACCTTGGGACTCTCCACTCCATATGCTCATGCCATAGCGCATCGCCTGCGTATTCATGCCACGCCGACGCCGCCCCCCTCGACCCGGTGCACTCGCGGATCTCTCGCCAATTCGCATCCTCTCCCAAATTGTCCTCCTGCAACTCGCATACTATGCATGCGCCGGGATCCTCATTCTCTTCACTGCCCTGGTAGCGGGCAAGGAGGTCAGCCTAGATCTCCTCTTCAACTGGCAGAGCCTGAGCGGGGATACCACGGTTGGATGGACATTGGGCCTGGTCTGGATGTTGAATAGCCTCGCCTGGTAAGCCCTCACCTACGCGCCCCGTGGAGTTGTGCAACCGTCTGACATGCCACAGCGCCATTTTCATACTACTTCTCATCGCCCGCTCCAAGCTTGTTCTTGACTTTGCCCTTACCGTGCACTTCATACACTTGGTCGTCACCTCCTTATACACGCACGCGATACCCGCGAACCTCTTCTGGTGGGCGCTACAGATATGCAGCGCGACCATCATGACTTCTTTGGGTATGTGGGCATGCCAGTGGCGGGAATTGAGACCCATCAACTTTGGAAGCAAGACGTCTGCGCGACCGCAACCGCAACCGGCGGCCGAAGAAGAGGGCGGCGAGTCTCGGGGCAGGGGCAGGGGTAGAGGGAGGGATGGCGCGGGGGAATACGAAATGGTTGGCATGAATGAAGGGGACAACAACGTTTGATCACTCCCCATCCTTTGCATAATAGGCGTTTGGGTTCGCCTGACTTGGACATATCGATTGGCATCGAAACAGCATTTTAATATACCCGGAGAGAGCATAGAGCATTATACATTAACATTTGGATCAGACGTCAAACGGTCTGTTCGGTCATCATCACTGTGGCTCGTTAACGGCACTCGAAGCTTTGTATCGCTCTGCCTCTAAGAAACCATTCCGACGAACTATCTTCGAGTTCGACTGTGCCGTCCCTCAACATGAACCACGGTAGCTCATCTAGCTCCCCTTCACCTTTCATTGCCTCTTTCTCTTTGGCATCCGTCTTTGGCGTGATTCTGCACATGATCTTGTCTAGGCGTTCTAGTGATATCGAACGGTCCTCGACTGTGACTGCCATAGCGATTTTGATAGCGCTTAGACGATTTGGTATATTAAGACCTAGCTATAGTGTCAGTGGCTCTTGAAGAGGATTAAATGCTGCTACAGTCTACAGATAAGCAGGGAGCTTGTCCGAGACGTGCACGTGGTTGGAAGCTCCAGCCCCAACGGCAAAGTAACTTACCAGCGACGATCCGTGTATTCAGTGGGATTTCTGCCAGCTTTTGCATTTTGCTTCCGCTCTCAATAAATGCCAACATGACGTGGATGTTGTTCGACTTGAATCCACCTGCTTGATGATCCGGAAGAAGAAGAGGTTGCTGTGCTGTATGTCGTGGTATGCTGGCAGCGAAGACGAGAGACGCGTACGCGAAGCTGTATATGATAAACCTGTTGAACATGGCTGAGGTATGGTGTTCTGAAGCAAACAGTTGTATTGAGAAGGTGGCTATCTATATTTCCAGGCGAGTTGTGGCGCGTGTTGTGCGGAGAAGCTGCTGTGACCCTGAAACCAGACGATATAACCCCTCTCCACTTATACTTCCTAGCAACAGTGCCGAGGGCCTAGATGTAGCGCATATTAGGCTCTTCTATTGGACCCAAAAGACTAAGTGAGAAGGCTAGGCCATTGTCGGTAAATCGGCATCGATGTTCTCTTGGTGCTATTTCCATGGATGGCGCCAAAATGCTTCCAATCAACATGGTTTGGATTGGCGGGAAGTATAATGCATTCAGGGTATTCGTCGGATTTGTTCGCCAGATCCTCCGGTGTCTCCTCAGATAATGAAACCCCAATACTAACCAGCAATGTGATTAGAGACACCGGTACGCTGCTCTGGAGGTAAGCTGGCACGCGACCCGACTGCACGACATGCCCTACTAGCGCGAAGCACGGACGCTAGTTTCTTAGAACGAAAACAATCCCTGCTTCCAAAGCTTTCCTCACCACCAGCCTCTTGGTATCAGATGCTGCATTGATCTACCACTAACAGTTGTCAACTAATGCAAGCGCGCAGCGTTAGATCCCACAATGAACCCGGATGATCAATACTTCAGGCAATGGAACCCTGAGCATCATGAGGACGATAGAGGCTTCCCACCTGTTCCGGGTATCTTCGAAGATGATACCTCCAATTTGATGCAGCCAGCTGCGCAACATAGCAGACAGCAGTATCCTGTTCATTTTCCACAAAATGGGCTGCCGTTTCCTTCCCACCCAGTGTACCACCAACCTGACTTTCAGCTTTCTCAATTTCACCATCAACCGCCGACCCGGAATCCGTACATACCTTTAATTCCACTAAATGCCGTAGAAGATTTAGAAGAAGAAGAGCCTTTGCCACCTTTTACCAGTGGTAATTTTCAAGATCCATTTAACAGGGCTTATGCTACTAGTGGACCGGCGGTCTTTGAAGGGTTCATCCCAGCGAACCCTGAACAAGAGGACGAAGATGAGTATACGGAAGCTAGTGAATTTCACTCTTCGATTTATGATCGCGAATTTGAGAGCTCAGAAGAAGAGGAAGACGAAGACGACGAAGACGAAGACGACGAGTATGAACGTATGCTTGAAGAAGAGGAAGAGCGGGAACGGCTACTGCAAACTCAGAAAGACGACTCTGAAGTTGACGCAGACTATTCGTCCGAAGATGCACAGCAAGATGAAGGCGATCCTGACGAGATGGAGCTGGGTGTCGAATTCGAGGACATGGAAGGACGTGTCAGGTACAAGAGAGGGAAAGGTAGTAACAGAAAGTCCACCAAAAGCCCCGCGATGGGTGGTACCATACCCACTTCGAGTACTCGAGGGAGACGTGGGGGCAAAAGAGGGCGCCCTTCAACCAGAGGGCGGGGTGGTAATAGTAGCGCTAGGTCTACACGTGGTAGAAAGCGAGGGAAACCTGGAAGCGAGAAAGGTCCTCGAGGTCCCCGCGCTGTAGCCGACCCCGGCGCAGAATGGAAAGCCTTGCAGCAACAGGCCAACGCCAAATTCATCGAGAAGGATTATGAGGCAGCCCTTTCATATGCTCAGCAGGCTATCCAACTCAACCCAGAGATTTTCGATGCATATAATATCGCCTCTGAAATATACACTGAGATGGGTCGTGAAGAAGACTCCATAGCTGTACTGTTAGCTGGAGCGCCAACAAAGCGTGACCCTGGTCTTTGGCAGTTCATCATCGAGCGTATCCAACAGTTAGACCCGGAGCAACACCCACGTTTCACTGATGAGAACAAGTCGGCTGCTATACTTCCATGCTTGAATGAGATCATCCTGCTCAATAACGACTACGAGGCTCGCAGCCACAAACTCGAAATCGAAGCACAGCTAGGGCGTTCGTCTAAGTGCGTGTTGCTGGGCCTTAAGATGCTCAAGACACGTAAAGAGCAGGGCGAAGATCCGGACACCAGTGTGCTGAAGATCATGGCAATGATGGGCACTGCATCACCAAGGCAGACCAAGATACATCTCCACAAGCTTATCGACAGCTTTGAGGAGGCTATTGATGTGTTCACGCAACCCGGCCGGGACCCAGTCACGAATGACCTTGACTGGGAATTAATCAATATCTATCTTGATCTATTAGACAGAGCAGGCAGTTACGCTAAGGGAATCACAAAGCTGAAATCACTTTCGCGATGGAAGCAAGGCAGACATGCAGAGACGTTTTGGGATGAACTTGACGATGACCGCGAGTTTGATATTGAAGACGAGCCAAGACGTGTCGCTGTTCCACAGTTTGTGCAGAAGTCCCAAGATGCAAAGTATGGCTCAACTCTTCCACTAGAGATCAGGGTAAAACTTGGGTTGTTCCGGCTGCGTAGAAGTAAGGATGACTTCAAAGAAGCTATGGTATGTATAGTAGTGGCTGATGAAGTTGTACATCCGCTGATTGTAACAGCACCACCTGGAAATGTTGGAGCCAGACGATCAAGGCCCAGATGCCCTCATGTGGGACTATGAAGATCTCTTCCGAATTATCGGCGATGCCTTACATGCTACTGGCCACGACAAGGATGCGCTACGTTTCTATGAGCCATTGTTCAACAATGACTCTAGAGAGTTCAATCTTATGAGCTACATTGGCTTGCACACTTGCTTCAAGAATGAAGGGCGGACTGAAAAGACGGCAGAAGTTATTCTTATTTTAAAGAAATGGCCAGCGAAGAGTTACGATGACCTCGCTGTTCTTGCAAAGTTCTTCGAAGATCAGGGCATGTGGCAAGAAGCTGGACAGCGTGCAGAGACCATTTACCGCGATAAGTATGGCCACAAACTCAAGGCTCTGGGCTTTCAGGCCTACGATGAGCTCAGAGTATACTACTACAACCAACGTAGACAGGCTCGGGGTAGGTATGCTGTTCGAAAAAGCACTGTACGGAAGAACAGAAAGAAGATGCAAAAAGCGACTGGACAGAATGACGAAGAGGATGATTCGGCGAACGAAACGGGAAACAAGGAGCTCCCAGGAATTGTCGCTCCTACGGAACGACCCAAGAAAGGTCTGTTCCGAACAAAGAGGACCAAGGCGCCAAAGATCCAAGTATTCCTTGATGTGCGCGAAGAAGACGCCGAACCAGCACCCGACGCCGAACTCAGGCCGGCTACGATTGAGGGCACTGATGTGCCATATCGGGCAATTACAAATAGACTATTCCGCGGAAAACTTCAAAAGCTTGCTACCGACTTTGCCGACGATCTGAAGGCTGCGAGAGCTCAACATCGAGAAATTGTCTCCAGTTTCAAACGACTAGATGAGATATGGGAGCCAGCAGAAGATGGAGACGAAGAAGCTATCAAAGAAGTCTTGTCGATTACCCGAGAGCTGATTGAAGAGTTTTCAACATTTGACTTGTTTTATTCGAACAAAAAAGAAGACCTCATGACCTACTTCCGACGCGTAACAGCCGGAGACCTTTGGAAAGAATCAGCATTGATGGTACTTGCTGTGGTAGCGAATAATGCTGAGGACGGCGAGACAGACCCTGAACTCCAAGAACGACCTAGTACACCCCCGACTGATTTCTGGGGCATTCATTTCGACAAATGGTGTGATGCATTTGGCCGTTATGCCATTTTGCTTGCTGGCGAGGGTGATGAAGAGCAATGTTTTGCTACACTCGATATTGCTCTCCAGGCCAATATCTTTCACCGCTCCCAAATCTACCATCGGCAACTTCAAATATGTCGACTCACCTGTGCCCTTGCAGCCGACAACTCACCACAAGCCTCTATTGCAGCGCGTTGGCTTCTTAAAGAATACCCGTTTGGTACCGACCTCTTCCGTCTATACAGCTCCGTCAATCGTCTATGCTCTTTTCCCGAAGGCTTTGCAACTGGTCCCGCATACAAAGTACTCATGCGCTACATAAAGACGGTTGACTACGCACTCCTCACCCCGAAACAACGTATCGAGTTTAACTTCAGCACCAAAACTACCAAAGGCGGTTTCAGAAATAATGTCAACATCGAGGACGTGGACAAAGTCAAGGGCCACGACCCCGCGCTCTTTGCATTATACGCACACGTTCTGATGTGCGGTGGAAGCTACATGGCAGCGCTAAACTACTACTTCCGTGCGTTCGCTCTTACGCCTGAAGACCCAGTAATCAATCTAGGCATAGGCGTAGCATATATCCAACACGCTATGAAACGCCTCTCAGAAAACAGGCAGTACCAAATCCAGCAGGGTCTGTCCTTTGTCTACAGATATTACGATCTCCGCATCAAAAGCCCACACACCATTCATCGCCAGGAAGCAGAGTTCAACGTCGGTCGCATGTGGCATAGTTTGGGCCTGGTTGCACTGGCGCTCCCTGCATATGAAAGATGTGTTGCTCTTAGCGAGCAGGTGAAGAAGGAAGCACAGGACCAATGTATAGATGGGAATTGGGGGTGTGAGGATTTCAGCACCGACGCCGCATTCGCGATGCAGAGTATCTATGCCATTAGTGGAAATTTCGAGGGCGCGTTGGAGGTTACGATGAAGTCGCTAGTCATTGAGTAAATTAAGAACAGTAGCTTGTATCGTGTGAGTATCCTGAATTAGCAATAGTGATTGTCCTTCTCTTGGACAGTCTCATGTACGCCTCTGTCCAGCCCAAATTTCAAGTTTGATCACCGTTTGCTATTGATTCTTCATGAAAGATGCACAACCTTTACTAAAAAGAGTAGCAGGTCTAATGTGGTCAAGCAGCGATTGCCAGCCTTGTTGCTGTTGGCGACTGCGGGGTTGCGTGCACAATAACACAGCCCCCTTCCACTTCAGCTCACAGCACATCCCATCCCAAGGCTGAAAGCTCCAGCACTTCTCTTCCTCTTCCTTTCACGCATCTTTACTACAATTAAGAGCTTACCTGTTGATCTATTCCTGCCAAAACGCGCGAGCGAGAGTTTTCTGGCGCCCATAATCAACAAATATCTTCTACGCAAGCACTATTGCAAAACGCCTTGGTTCTCTTCCCCATGAGAGCCCTAGAAGGCGTGATTGCCTCCTCAGACACCCTGTTTCTTATAGTCTATCTACAGCATGGCTGCATTAGTTGTTCCAAAATCCAACGCATCGTATGTCCGTTGAGCAAATCATCTAGTCATGCATCTACTAATACTTTTCTTCGCTTCAGCACTAATCTCTGGACCGAGGCTATAGCCCAGTTACCTGCCGAACACAAGCACGGAATCAACTTTGCCCAACATGAGAAGATCGATATTCTCAAAGATCTACGCGAGAAGGCCGAAACATCAAGGAATCAATTCATGAAATCGAGATGGAAGTACACTCGCAAGAGCGGAGAAACGGTCATAATCAGGGATGTTTTGGAGAAATTTCTTCGATGGCTTGATGTGTTCAAGGAGATTGGAGATGTGGCTGTTCAGTACGATCCCACGCATGCTGCGCTTCCTTGGGCGGGTATTCGCCTCATCTTGCAAGTGAGTGATGCATTGGTTTCCAAGAAAGATATTGACGTAGCTTCAGATTGCCTTGAATGATACCGAAAAAATGTCCTTGGTCATGGAAGATCTTACTTGGGTATCTGAGCTGATTTGTCGTTACACTATCGTAGAAGCTTTGTATATCTACGATTCATCAGCGGCTTATGAAGCGCTACAGAAAGCTTTAGTTAAACTGTATTCAAAGATTCTTCTCCACCTATCTAACATAATAGCATACTTTGAGCAGGGGACTGCAAGTAAGTTTCATCCTCTACGTAGAGAGCATATCTGTTAATGAAAACTATTAGAGCGAATAATAAAGAGCGCTCTTCTTTTCGACAAATCGTTCGAGTCATCTCTGGATGAGATTCATAGAGCAGAAGCACAGGTAAAGAATTGTATATCTTTGGCCGAAAGAAATGGTGAGTACTAGCTGGTTTTTTAAGAAAGCTTCTTCGGCACTAGACCTTGAAAACTTCTTCCTGCGACTTAGAACGTGGAAAGAAATTTGGTTTTAGTACTGGAATGGTCTTCACTATCTAGGATTTTTTTCTTGGATTTGGGGAGGGAGCTATCTGCTTTTAATCATCAAATCCGCTAACGATTTGGCAGATAGTATCGAGAAAAATGATAAGCTAGCAGCTCTACTGAACTCCATGAATGCTCCACTGAAAAGAATCGATCGAAATCTTGAGCATGTGCAAGACAATCTTGAGAGTAAGTGACCGTGGTATTCGGTCGAAAAGCAGCTCACACACACAGGATCGGAGCGCACGAAAATTCTTCAATGGCTCTCTTCTGAACCTTACATGGGACACCACAAACAAGTCAAGAAAGATCTCCTAGCTGGGACTGGGATGTGGCTCTTGGATGACGCTATCTTCAAGAAATGGAAGGACGACAGTGCATCTTCCATTTTATGGCTCCATGGGATCGCTGGCTCAGGCAAGAGTAAACTTGTGTGAGATTTTTATACATTGTGTATTCGTGAAGAACTTGCTGATATTATCAGGTCAATTGTAATCGACGATGCGATGAAGAATTTCCAGGCTCGAAATAGCCCGCAACCAGTATTCTTCTACTGTTTAAGAAATCCAGCAGAGCCTTTACGGGAGAACCCTAGAGGAATACTTGCTAGTATTGCGCGCCAACTGTCAAACACGGAGTTAGGGATGCCTCTTCTAAAACCTACAGTCGATATGTACAAGAGTGAAGAGAGTCAAGGGTTTGCGTCCGGACAGCCCGACATGATAGAAATTTGCAACCTCATCACGGAGCTCATCGAAATCTATCCCCAGACGACGATCATCATAGATGCCATGGACGAATGCGATCCAGAGACACGATGGGAGCTACTTGAGTATCTGGAGACGATTCTCAAAAACGCATCTAGTCTGGTCAAGATTTTCGTTTCGAGCCGAAATGACCAAGATATTGTATTGCAGCTGAAGAGCTACCCGAATCTGGAGATAAACTCTATGATGAACCAGAGCGATATTTCACGGTTTGTCAAGAACGAGACAGAACAGCTGATTCAGCGTAGAAAGCTGCTATACCGTAGCAATTCGCGAGATGAGCTCAAGGAGCTGATTATTTCCAAAACCACCGCAAGTGCTCATGGAATGTAGGTCTGACTACGCATACTCAAATTTCTTGATTTTGACATCCTCCTAGGTTTCGTTGGGCCAGCATGCAATTGCAGTATCTTTGTTTGTTCACTGAAGACGACGATATCAGGGCTGCCATGGGGCGACTTCCGCCCGATCTGCGTGAGCAATACAACCAAGTCTACAACAAGCTTTCAACAATGCCAGGCGATTATCGACAGACCATTTTCAAAAATGCCCTGTGCTGGTTGTTATCAGCTCAAACCACGCTTCCAACCGATCAGTTCCTAGCCGCAGTAACGGCAATTCCTCATGAAGGCAAAAAAATCACGGCTTCTCAGGAAACGATTCTTGAGTACTGCAACAACTTCATCATTCATGACTCACAGCTTGACACGTTTCGCTTCGCACATCTGTCCGTGCGAGAATTCTTGGAAGGAAGACCTGAGTTCAGTGAACCATCGTCCAACAACTTGATAGCGGAAGCTTGTCTCTGGATCGTACTATGTAAAATTCCAACTCCAGCAACCCAGAAGCTCTTCCGTCATGTTGGTTGGAAACCCGAGATTGAGCCCTCCGTAATTGAAGCACTTGATTATGCACGATTTCACTGGCCTACTCACTGCAGAGAAGCGGGAAGTTGTAGAAAATCCGGCGCCTTGAGGGCCGTTTTGAAATACCTGTTCTTGGATGAAAGAGACAAAGGGAAAAATTCATCCATGGCTCTCTGGATGCAGAGTATGACCGACCTGGAGGATAAATTTCAACCTCAGTACCAATCGCTACATGAGGTTCTGTATTGTAGACCCAACAGCGACTCTCTATCACAATATTTGGGGCTGTTTATCGCCTGTGCTTTTGATTTCGAGGAGTTGGAAAAAGAACTCTTTATCAGCGAAGCGCTTACAGCACCCTACAGAACTGTGGAAGGGAGAAGTATTGGAGGTCTCGCGGCTGCAAATGGAAGCCTCGCAATACTTTCTCATCTTGTTATGCAAAAGGAGTTTGGAATTAGGCTTGCCACCGAGGTGTTGCGTGCTGCTCGTTCCGAATATTGCAAATATACGGCAATGATCCTCGTCAACTGGAAGGTAGATGAACAAAGTAAGAGGATAGTATTGACAGCAACTGTTTCATATATTCTCCTGGAAGCGGTGGAGGTTTTGCTCGACTCATGGGAAAACGTCAAGATTACACAAGAGATGATAGTGGCAGCGATCAGAAACCGAAATCAGCCCACTAAACTGGTTACCTCCCTCCTGAATCGAAGTAAGGAAACCATTACGATCACACATGAGATGGTATTAGAAGCTGCCAGAAACAAATCCCAACCTGTTGAGCTGACCGAATTCCTTCTGAACCGAAGTGAGGGAAAGGTCGAGATATCACACGAGATGGTATTAGAGGCTATCAGGAACCGAGCCCAACCTGTTAATTTGACCAAATTTCTTCTGGACCGAAGTGAGGGAAAGGTTGAGATATCATACGAGATGATAGAGACAGCCCTTGGGAATGGAACCACGCCTGTTGAGTTGACAAAATTCCTTCTGAGCCGGAGGAGGGACGACGTCAAAATCACACAAGAGATGGTAGAAGAAGCTATAGGGAATAGTGAAAACACAATGATTTTAGCTCAGGTTCTTCTAAGTCAAGGCAGAAAAGAGGCTATGATAGCACCAGAAAATTTCGGTACGGTAATCGAAAGGAATCGCGAGACTATGAAGTGGGTGGAACTGCTTCTCGATGAACTAGACGAGGGCATCACAATTACTAAAAAGACTTTCAAAGTCGCATACCGTCAGAATGACGAAATCTCCTTTATTGAATGTCTCCTGCGTCGACAAAGAAAAGATTTACCAATAGCAGCATCGGCAGTAAAATACGTCCTGCAACACTATGACAAAGACGTAGTACAAATCCTTCTCGACCGTTGCGGATTTGACAACGTTATTACGAAGGAAACCATCAAAGGTGTTAGAGAGCGTGAATATGGCGCAAAAGACATGATGTTATCATTGATAGATCAGCGAAGAGATGTGATCGACAGGCTCTTGGATGACGAACAAGAGGCTTATGCGGTTGAAAAGCTCGGACGAAACCTCTATCGTATTAACTTTCACCATGACGGTGGTTGGACATATTACAAATGGAAAGAAGACAGGTGGGAAATCAAGTAGTACAGGATTGTACGAGTCGAGTTGCCAAAGATCGGGTTGAAATCGTATTTGCAATGTACCGCGTGTTAGTTTTCACAGAAGTTATGCGATCACCCTCTTAAAAAATCAGAGAGAAGAAGAACAACTTACTTGATAACATGCATCCCACATCACATCCAGCAATGCATTAACAGAGCTTGTGAATACGCAATGTCACACCACCCAAGCAACAACCTTCCTTATCATCTTCCACTCGCTATCCTTTCCTCTTTCACACTACAACCACTCACAGGAACCACCCTCAGCACTCACCATCTCTATTCACATATACAACAAAACATCACTCCTCCTGCAATCGCGTCTCTGAACCCATCACTCTTTGAACTACACACTAAGATACATATCGTGCCAGAACAGCAATATCGTGGGAACGAGCAGAGGGGTACATAATGCATTCATTTCTAAAGGCGACGAATTAAGGGGGGGAAACCAGAAACTTTTGCTTGGGGAATCATGTAGTAGTGAGATGGACTACGAAAACAGTAATTCGAGAAGCCTTTTGTGCTAAAGCAAATAAAGTAAAGTATATTTTTAATCAAAAGGCGCTCTGTCCCTTCGAAAACAAGAAAAAGACGAGATCAAATCAATCATTCCATTCATCATCTATCAAAACCACCCTCCCTCTCCCGCATCCAAGCAGCTTACCCCTTCCTAACACCCCAAACCCCGCCACCAACCCTCACCACCTTCCCTTCGCCCTCCAACTCCTCGAGCAAAACCCCCACTTCCTCAGCCCCATGCGGAAAGCCTCCCTGAACCATCATCCGCATCATCATCGCAATGCGCCCGACATCCATATTCCCCTGGTTCGTCAGCATACCCATGATGAACGCCGTATACACATGTTTCTTCTCGTTCAGCATTTCAGACTGTGATTTGATAGTCGTGGTGGCGGCACCGGGGTCCGCTTGCAAGGTCGCTAGTTCTTCTGCGGCGGCTGCGGCAGCATCGGCATCGTGGGCGCCAGTTTTCGAAGTGGGTTTGGGGAGGGACTCGATGACGGAGTATGTTGATGGTGGGTGGAAGCGGAGGATGGATTTTCCGACCCAGAAGCTGAGGGCTTGGTGGAGGAGGGATTCGTCCATTTCGAGGAGGGATTCGAGTTGGGAGATTGTACGGGTTGTGCCTTCGCCGGTTTTGCTGGCTGTAGTGTTTTCCTCTTCTTCACCGGGTTGTGGCTGGAAGGCGTGGATGACGCTGACTTGCCAGGGGGTGAGGTTGTCAAAGTCTTCGGTGCGGTCTTCAAAGGTGAGGGTTATGGAGCTGGTGCCCAGGGCGTTCATCCAGCGTAGCTTGCGCATGCCCTTGATGCGTTCGAAACGTGATTCGTATTCTTTTTGCAGTGCACTAATTTGTTCCGGTACTTGGAACGTGTCATCACGGAGCTGTGGCCAGAAGAATGACGATAAAATCTGTGCGTTGAGTGTCGGGCCTGGAGGTGGTGCAGAAGTTGGGCCAGAAGGTGTTGCTTTCTTGGCTGATCTTGCTGGACGGCGAGGCCGTGGAGTTCGTGGTTGACGACCATCTGGTGTTCGAGGTTGTCTACTACGCTGATCTGGTGTGACTAGCGAGTTTGAAGCTGGTACGCTAGAGGTTGTGCGTATCGTGCTGTTGATACGCCTGGATTCTAACATATCGCGAAGCATGACTTCACACGCCTGTAGCTTGTCATCTCCCAACCGCACCTTGATAAGCTCCAACAGTCGAATCTCCTTCTCGTACTCGGGATCTTGACATTTGAGCAAATGCTCTCCGTAGATATTCTTAAGCTCATTGATAAAATCGTCCCGCTCCCACAACGTCAGGAGGAACCAGATGACATCTTCGACCTTTGACTTCTTGTAGTCAGGTGAAGCATCTTGCGGTAGCGGCTGCCAATTCATGTCGTTCCAATTGAGTTCTTCGTCGGCGTCTTGTCCAAAACTTGCAATCGGCTTAGCCATCTCACTTGCAATTTCGTATGATAACTCGCTGTTAGAAGAGAATTTGCTGCCGGTATCGTCTTTGAGATCAGTAAGCAGACTCAGTATGATGATACGGGCTGTATTCTCTCGCTCCTTCAGATACCGCCGAATTGGTCTTGCTACTCGTTCAAGCAACACTCCCTTAGGCTCCAGCTCATGGAAAGAACGAATAATGGAAATGTACACGTTCAGGATGTATGTCGTCGTAGCTCCAGGATGCAGCAGACGTCTTGAGACTTGTTGCGAAAAGCTTGACGTAAGATGCTGTTTTGCATTTGCCACCTTGAGATACTCTTTGATATCTAGGATGGCGCCCATACTCTTGTCCCAATTGATTACAAAATCAAACAAGTTGTCGACTCGCGCTCTACCCAACCTGCCCAACGCCATCTCCTGCCACGAAGACACTTCAGTCGGCAGGATGTTACTCTGTTCGCATCTCAGGCATTCCAATACTAGTTCGACGAGCGGGCAAAAGCCGTCCTGAATCCACATCTTCAACTGCGGCACAATCGTCTTCTTGGAATACCAGTCAACCTTGAGATAATGGCTTCCTATAAAGGAATCAATCAGCTTTGTCATGGCATGGGCGAAGGCCTTTTGGGCACTGTCACCACCGAGTCCGATGCGCTCCAGCCCTTGTAGTAAAGTCGTCATTCGCTTCCTGGTCTGTTGCGTGTCATGAGACATGTTCCTTGTCTCCACACCGTCATGTCGGTTGTAGATGCGGAACAGCCTACATCCCGCATCGTACAAGACATAACTCAGCGTCTTTGAGTATCGTTGCCGAGGCAGGCAGTACGCAAACACAGCTTGTATATCGCTTCGAAACTTCCAATCCGCTGCGCTTACAGTACCAGACTCGTTTGTCTGCGTATGTGTGTTCGGATGAAGCGTCGAGCTACTTGCGTTCTGCTGTATAACTTGCAACAAGTGCTCGGTGAAGGGTTGAAGGTACACGCTCTGGGCCTGTTCAAGTATATGCTGTGTCTTGTCGAGTAAACCCCAAGCGCGGCGTAGCTCAACCTCTTCCTGCCATAGGCGCTCCAATCCCGGTCTCACATGATTTGCAAAGTGCAAGCGGCACTCATTTGTATACCATTCCACCAGGCTTTCTTCATTTGCATCCTCAACCCTGCCTTCTCCAACCAGCAAATAGTTTAGGGCGTCTTCCACCTCCCTCGTCCTTTGCATTCGTGGGGCAATAGACACGTCCTTTGGCAAACTCAGAAATCTCGTTGCACAGCTCCACGCACTGTTGCGCCGGACCGCTCGGTGCTGGCCTTGTCCTTGGCCACGGGCATCGGTATTGCGCAGAGCATACGGATTCCCGAACGAAGTTCCCGGCGCAGTAGAACCTAGATCCGGTGTCGCAATCGGTGTGGGCGTGCTGTGCGAGAAGGAGAGGACGGGGAAGACGGATGCGAAGACTAGGGTTGAATGGTCCATTGCGGAGGTGCTGCGGAGGCCCCGCTATGCGATTGTTTACCGGTGTGTCTGATGTGGCGTAGGCGGCTTCATGAGCATGCGGATCACGTGAAAGGTATCAGGTCTTTTCCTGGAATTGGCTGTTTTCTCACCATATCGGTTGGCGAATTGTTATCGCAGGGTGGGCTGGTTTCGGTCTGCCCGCCTGCACAAGGGTCAGTCGCGATCCCACATGGAGCACGGACCAAGTGCAACGCGTATTCACGTGGTAGTATGTCTATTGTAGTAAAAGAGGGCAGGGCACTGACATGACTTCAAGTTCGCCAATACAACATCACCGAGTTACAGTCCGAAGATATCATATCTTGCATAGACCTGCCATCGTAAATTCTATTACTATATAGATGTGGAAAGCGCACACCGCCATTGCGCACTCTCAGTTCCTTTAAATCCGGGGTCCTGAGACCATGCCTAGTATCATGCAACCCGACCAAGGATATCTACCATATACGCCATCCGACGCCGTTGCTCCATCGCATCATCATTAAAATATCCCGTGAAATACTTACAACAATTGCCAATACCTGTGTCGTAGTCTTATCTTCATCATGGCCTCAACACACCATGTCGCCGTCTGAAAGCCTCCACTCGCTCCTCATAGAAGAGAATCTCTCTAACCCTGAGCTTTGGACCTTTCTGCGAGTCCTGTATAAAGGATTCATCATCGCTATCACCCTCCGCTTCGTCGCTGACATCGCTCTCCGTCTCGTCGCCGCCAGGCGGTACTGCGCCTTCATCCATGCTGTCGTCGTCGTCATCCTCGGTGGCTTCACTCTCATCATCAGATAACATGGGGTCGTGTGTGGCGTATGCAGAGCCACTACCATCAGTATGCATACCGTCATGTCGCAAGTCATAGTTCGATGGCCGGTTCTCCAGGATCTCAAAGCACTTCGTGGACAAGCCCATATAACACAGCTCGATTTCCGGTCGCAAGTGCACAATGTCCAGAATCTGGTAGGCGAGCTCACGCGGATCAATATTACTTCCATGAGCGTGGTCGGCTATGAATGGAATGTACAAAGAGCGGATATGAGGAATGTACGGAAGACGTTGGAGAAAATGATGCTGCCTGATGTTAGCCAAGCCCGTTGGTAAGGATCAGATATAACATACCCAGTCTTTGTAGTCAATGGACACTGCCAATTCGCGTAGGCTATTCATGCGACCGCTGGTTATGAAGGTAAGGATTTCCCGGTTCAACATCCACCGTCTCCATCTGGAGCTCGTCGTTGTGTGCCCATCAGGCCCCTTCTCCCCACTGTCAATCATCAACTTTTTGAGACTGGCTCGGTGCCTCTTCAAAGGTCCTTTGTATATCGCATCTACTGTTACGGGAGATGAGTACAACCGGCCTTCCTGAAGGAAGAGGACCTCGAGGCTGTTGGGTGCCAAGGTTTCTTTTAGGAAAGAAATGAGCGATGGTGAGACTGTGTTGGTATGAATCCGCTTCAGGTTCAGTTGATATTCACAGCGTAGAGTGTACGAAGCCTTGTATGCTTTTGACGATGATGGCGAGCCAGGATAGGCAGAGCGAGGCGTGTATGCTCTTCTCAAGATCTTCCACAATTGTTCATGATTGCTGCAGTTCAGGAGAGTCAGGGTAGATAGCATGGACCAATCAAAGGCTCTACGCAGCACAGGGACAGAGAGGGGGACCCGTTCCAGCTCCAAAACCTCAAGCTTCAGCTGACCAGTCAACAAGGGCTCAGCAGAATCCTGAGATGGGTCTTGCGCATTAGTGTTTTGCCTATGGGGCGAAGGCCTTGTGTGAGCCTTGGAGGCTGGCTTGTCTTGATGTGCCGGCTGCGGGGCCGGTCCTGCACCTGCGGGTTGGTCATCGTTGAACAGACTTACTCCTTCGGTTATAGACGAGTCGTCCATCGGGTTACCAAAGTGGTCCACATCTTGGTCGGCTTCGCGTTCATGCAATGAGAGCGAGGCTATAGATGGCAAAGGCTGTGAAACAGCCGATTTCGTCGGTGTTGCTTCAACTGACCGCTCTGTAACCCCCGCACCGCCCTGTTTTTGGGAAGGCGGCTCTTCTGAATGACGCATATTGTGTATACGTCCAACGAGAATACCCAACACACCGCCCAATCTCTTTTCGCCTATCGAGCATGCTGCCGCTGATGTCGTGCTGTAATCGACCTGCTGCAGACCTTCGCCTTCCCACACGGTCACCCAGTCCCGGTGCTGAGCATGCGCCGCGATTCCAATCCTGAGTTCGCGAAGCTTCTTCTGTGATCGTGCAATCAGAATGCTCATCTCATCGAGGTACGGCAGTTCGTCAATATCGAGGACGCTCAGGCTTTTCAAAGCGGGGATCACGGAGAAGGTGGGGTGTTCGACTCGTTCCAGCACGGACAGGCTTGTAGGCGGGTATTGTGGGACTGGAATAATGGGCAGTTGAACGGTACCGAGTCCGCTTGGATGTGTAGTGTTGGGAGGCGGGGGTAGGTTCTGATTGTTGAGGATCATAGGTGGCGCTGGCGGAGGAACTGGCGCATCGATGGTGTTGTCGTGCCATCGGATCCAGAGCCGCTCAAGACGGCATTCTTCACCGTCACTCCGATGTGCGAGACTCGACAGTGCCAGCCAAACGTCGCGAAGCACACCAGTTGGCATGTCCCACACAAAAGTCTCGAGGTTTATCATGCGCGCAACGGCAAGCGCTACCAATGTGCCCAGCATCTTGCCGCCCTCCTTGGTGATCATGTACTCTTGAACCCATGCCTGCGGCCCATTGCCCAGCGAAAACTTCTTTGTAAACTGTCCGTAGTAGTTTCCGAATCGGCGCTGCGGGACCGGGTATGGGTTGGCGGCAGTCCTCAGGAGTGAAGTTGGCGTCTGTCCCTGGAGTCTCAGGCGGTGCTGGTGGGGGAAGCAATCATCGCCCATGACCAGCGTCGCGAGACCGTACGTGAGAGCGTCAACGCCAGCACGGGGCTCGTTGTGGGTGCTTTCGTCGGGCCATACAATGTCGAAGCGCGAATAGATGCATGGTATGGTCAGCCGGTGAAGGGCCGAGTGGCAGAGACATAGCGACGTCAAGTCGTTGGTATGCGGAAGCTGTAAAGTAAATGGTCAGCATCCCCGCGCGCTATGGGGAGACCACGACGGAGGCTGCGCGTGGCGGGGGGATGCCTACTCACCTGGTGAATGATTTCTTTCAAAATATCCACGGGCAGGTCCAGCAGCTTCAGCGGGCCCTTTGAAGCCTTTGCCTTGCCCTTTTGTGCTGGCGCCGGGTCAGTCAAGGGCGGCGCACCCACCGCACCCGGCGCGGGCGTACTCGTCCACACGTCCTCTGGCGATGGCTGGGAGCCCATTAGTTGCGCATCGTCCTGCGAGGGCGAAAATGAGCGAGCAAAGTCGGCGTCTGAAGGCAGCGGCGACGCAGTAGTGGGCGTGCCGGGGGTGGAGAGCGGGGAGTCGGCCATGGTGTGGTGAGTCCAGCAGCAGTACTACTTGCGGCATACAAGGTCCCTGGGGAGGGTGGAGGACCAGGCGCAGAAGCAGCACGGCAGTCGTGCTCCTACATGTATGGACGTGAGGTGTGCGCAGCCGTCAAGTTTGGGTGTTGTGGTGGTGCTGCCAATTGACGTGGACGGCCAAGAGACCCTGGTTTATCCCGGTGCACATCCGCCCTGCCTTTCCTTTGCATTTGCACATCACATCAGCCTGGTTTCCTGCGCAACCGCCGCCCGCGCCGCCACTGTGCCTCGCACGCCATTCCCCCCACCACCATATCAACCTTTGCCCTGGCCATCAGCCCTTGGCACATGCATCTGAGACAAGCCCACACGACTCCATATATGACACGACTCTCTCCGGTATATTTGAAAACATGAAAAATTCGCGCATATACAATTGCTGCCAGCGGAGCCATACCCCAGTCTGGATGTATAGCAGCCACGCCACAGCAACTTCCATACATACAGCCATCCAACGCCCTTATCAAGTGGGTATAAACATAGATGGAATCCCTGCCAAACTCCACGCCTCACTTTGCGATTAAACTCCCTGATCGCCAGGAAAACGTCTAGTGTTAGCGAAACCCTATTCGCACCCACTTCTACTCCCTCCTCAACCCCGGCTCATGCTGAGCGCCGTCTGTCCCCGCTCGGGATCAGACATCTTGATGATCTTGACGTCAGACGTCTGGTTGACCTGGCTCATCGACTGAGGCGTAATGAAAATGAACTGTCGGCCAATCGACCGTCGCGCTGCCTGAATAATCATGTTCATGCTCCGTTCGCGATTGACACTGTCCATGAAAACGTCACTATACTTTTTGTCAGTTTGCACAATACAACACAGTCCCAGGCCTACTCACAACTCGTCAAGGCAACGGATCGGAGAGCCCATTGCATCCCACAGTGAGAGCAGAAGGCACACGGTCGAGTATGATTTCTCTCCACCCGAAAGTGTCTTTGTTTGCCTGCCATCCCCACTTCGTTCCATGATATCCGGTTGAACCTGGACAGGGTCAGCAATGCACCAAACGAAAGGGTATGTTGCACTTACATGGATGTCGAGAAGAGCCTTCTGGTGATCGATACTCAATGTGCCCCTGAACTTTCGTTCGCTCAAGAGGTAATTGAAAGTGACGCGTGCTCTAACAGAGATACCAGACCTAAACTGCTTCCATCGGTTGCGTCGATTGTTGAGGGTGGTGATCAGTTGCTGGTACAGGTCAGCTAGGTCCATCAGAACATACGGCCTGACTTACGTTGCGCAAATCCCTGATGTTATCAAATTCCTGCATTGCATCCTTGTGTTGCCTCTTCGCTTCATTCGCCGCTCGTAGTAGCTCATCTTGCGACCCACCGAGTTCCTTCTCCGACGCTTTCCTCGTCGCCTCTAGCTTTGCCAGCATCTGACCAAGTACCTCAGAGCTCTTTCCTGCCGGCACAGGAACCCGCTCCGCGCAGACACCTCTAGCGCCTTCGATTACCTCCTCCAGTTCTTTGCGTAACTCTTCCACACTATTCTCCCATTCCTTGCGCACTGCTTCCGCCCTTTCAACCTTGGCAATAGATTCGTTCTTCTCCCGGAGCTCATCCTCTCGCTTGCTTTGGAGTTGGCGAACGGTAATGTCTGCCTTTTTCAGCTTGAACTCGAGTTCCTCGGCCTTAGCGAATTTCCTGTCCATGTCATCTTTGTTCGCTCGGTTCTCCTCATTCAGTTCGATTTTCCGAGTTGTTATGTCTTCAAACACACCCTCGAGACTTTTGAATTCCTCTTTCGCAGTCTCAAGTGCTTCCTTGGCAACCTCAATGGCCGATGCGTCAGGAGTAGCCTCGCTCAGCTCACCTTCAAGCCGGTCCAAGTTATCCGAAGCCTGTTGCATAACAATTTTGAGTGTTTTCTTCTCGCGTTCATGGTCAACTTCTCGACGCTTACATTCATTAACCCGCTCTTGCAACTGTCTGGCACTCCCCTCAAGAACTTGTATCTCTGCCATAACTCGAGTCAGGCGAGTTCGCTCCTCTCTGAGCATCGCTTAGCCTATTTCCCAGGAAACTTTGCAGAACTACTTACTGAATTTGAGCATTCTGATCGACTTGCATGCGCAGATTTCCCATGAATTCTAGGATGGGACTGTCGTTGACTTGGCCATTGTTGCTGTAATGGTATACTCGACCTCTTCGGGTATCGCCATCCGCGAATGTAAAGCACATTTTGACATTCTTGGCACGTGGTCCACCATCTTTCAGTAGCCTAAAGCCCTCTGTCATGTTTTCAAAAAGTACAGTTTGTTCTATTGACTGATTGATGATGAGCTGGTTGCGAACAAGGTCATCGTCAAACTAGGTATCAGTTAGCTGAAATCTCCTATACAATACTTACACACATTACGCTTACAGTCAATACTCTCATCCATGTCAAGAGATCTTTGTCAGGCTCATGGTTACTTGTATCAATCGGAGCACGTTTGCCAATGTATATTTGTGCGGACCTGGGGTTGTTAGTATGTCTCATGAAGCTTAGAGGCAAAACACGCACCAGCCTGTCCTGTTCATCAATGTAGACAAAACACTTTGATCATGCTTGCTAGTGACGACAAAGCCATTGAGCGCTTGACCAGACTGTTTTTCCAATATGCGACCCCACTTCGGATCTAGCAGTTTTATGTGATGGCCGATAGGTCCTACCGGTGGCTCTCGAAACCGACGTTCAGATTTGATCGCGTCCAGTAATGCCTTGAGTCTACTGGGATTTGCAAATCCATCTATCCATTCACCCTGGCCTCCTTCTAGTCTTGAGACGACGCTTCGGATGCGCTTTGCGTCTTCGCGCGCATTTTGGACTTTTTGATTTGCATTTGCCAGCTCTTTTTTAGCCGCTTCAAGCTGGGCTAGCAGTTGCGGGCGACTAACGTCATGAGATGCGTACGCCTCTCTGGCTCTGTCACACTCGACCATGGCTTCGTCACGCTCACGGACTTTCTCGGCGTAAAGACCGTTATCAGCTTGCGCCTGTCGCTGTCGGTATTGCTCTATTTGTTTTTCGTATTTCTCCACTTCTGATCGCTTAGCAGTCAACTCGCTTCGGGCTTGCCGTTCATCAGATTGAAGTTGCTTGAGCGCCGCCTTGACCTGATCAAATCTTGCCCTGGCGTCTTGTAACTCTCGATCGACGGGTCCACTTTCTTCCGTAAGATCAGCAACTTTTTGTTTAGCAGCCTCGTAGGCCTGGTCAGCACGTTCATAACGCTCTGCTGCTTCAGCCGCTTTCTGCTCCCGTTCTCGTATTTTAGCCTGCGTTTCCTCAACTCCGGCCTGTGCGTCCGCGACCTCCTTTTCTTTTTCCTGGACATGAGCCCATGCAGCCTGTCCTGCAAGAATTGCTTCCTTGGCCCGTAGAGACTCTAGGTTCTGGGCTCTCCGCGCCTTCTTTTCCAGCTCCTCCATGTGACGCCGTAGAACACTCAGATCAGCCTCCTTGACCTCGGCCTTCGCATTCATCACTTCTAAAGACTGTTCAATCTGCTGATAGTCCCTATTCAGATTCTCGAGTTGAGTGCCTTGGAGGAAGAATTTGTACTTGTCCTTGGGAGTGGAATGATTGAGAAATTGCCTTGCCATATCCTGCGTCAAGACATTCATGGGATTGTCAATTTGCATGGAGAAGGCGTCGAGGATGTCTTCAAGTTCTGCCTTTTTGTTTGTGACAAGCTTGCCGTTTCGGTCCTTGAGTTTGAAGCCTGACGTTCCGGATCTGCTGAAGTGCCGCTCGACAATGATTGAGTCGCCATATTGTGAGGGCTTGTACGCAAGTGGTCCTTGGTTCTTAATCTTGACAGTAACAGAGGCATAGTCTTTGCCTTCTTTGATCAGACTCTTGAGATTTTGTGCGCGATTGGTCGCTGTAGCCTTTCCACCCAAACATATTGTAAGTGCAGTGAGTACGGCACTCTTGCCACTACCATTGTGCCCTATGATGAAATTGATGAGCGGGCCCAGAGTGACGGTCAAATGCTCATGGCACATGAAGTTTATACACTGAATCTCCTCGATTATACCAGAATCTGTTGCGATATTTTGCCTATTCGCAGTCTCCCGCCGTTCTTTCTGAACTTGTTGTGTCGCCCATATTTCTTGTGCATTCCGTTCCTGTTCGTCTTCTGCGTCCGAAGTATCGCTGCCGCTCGCTGCACCAGATCGTTCGTCGGTGGATGACTCTTCGCTGCTGTTTGGCTCAGATGGGCGAGGTCTTTTGTTCTGCATTCATGTGAACCAGGCTTCCGGTCGCAAGTGAAGACGATCAACCTACGCGATTATCACGGCCAGTGCCGCTCGAATTGACACCATTTGTGTGGGCCCGTGGGCGCTTAGCGGACATGACTGCAGTCAGTACAGCATCTGCTGTAGTTGTAAAGGAGTGTGGTTGAAGGTGACGACGGGTAAGGCTGGATGCCCACCGAGAGTTGCTGGTGAGGTAATTTGGAACGCGCTCCTTCCCCGCTAGAAGCGTTTATGAACCGCGCTAGTGCCCGCGTTGTACGCAGCGCCACATGCCACTTTATGCTTGGAATGGCAAATACACTGTACCAGAGTAGACTCGTTCAGGAAACACTAGTTTGTGACTAATAGTCAAGATGTGGGTTTTATAATTACGGATTTAACAATCAGGGGGAGATTATTCACCTGGGTGAGCATAGATGTATCACGTGATAGCGCGTTCCTACGCGTCTCTGTGGAAGACGTACTGCATGTTTTGATAGAGAGCAGGTTATGACCAAACAACGACAAGAGTCATGGAAACACAAATCTAGTTGTTTTTGGTTAGGTTCAAATCGTCTATATAGGTATATTGCCTCAGGGTTTTTGTGGAAGAAATCAAGATAGGGCGAAAAAGAGCATCTACACTGAGACTGCCGAACAATGTGCAATACCGTAACAACGAAAAAAAAAACCCTCGCTATGCAAAAGTCGCTGGACAGAGTACGGTAACAATACTGAGTCTTTCTACATGACAATCTAATTTTTGCTATTAGTGAATGGTTCTTGAAAAAGTAATTAGGTTGGTCCCGACTTACACAATCGCCGTCCTTGGGTGCCTGTCCGATCCCCATCTCGTCGAAAGTCTTAGGTCCCTTTCCTGGTCCTGAAGAAGCCGTTGATGCAGGCTTGCTAGGAGGAGTCGGTGTAGCTGGTTTGCTTACAGGCGTAGATGGTTTGCTCGCTGGTCCTGGCCCTGGCTTATGAGGTGGTTGTTGCTGCAAGGCTTGTACCCTGTTTGGATTGGGCATGTTGTCAGGCCCACCGTGCCGGCCAGCTGAGCCAGGGCGTGAAGATGTCCTACTCTCCTGGCCCGGCTGGACTGTAGAAGGCCGGGTGTGTTGACGGGGCTCGAGAGGTGCGACATAGCCGATGTCAGGCAAAGTAGGTGCTTTCTGAAGCGGTGCTCCTGACTGCTTTTGCAATTTGTTCCGCCCATCTGGCGCGCTGTATCCAATATCGGGGGGCTGGGTGGTTGCTGGGCGGTTTTGCATATCTGGACGCTGAACACTCGGCCCTCCAGGCTGCCTGTAGCCTGCTGGGCCACCTGGCGGTGGCTGTGCACCACGGCCAACGTTGGGGAGGCGTCCTCCTCGGCCCATATTGTCCACGCTGGTATGAGGTCGCATCGGTATGGGTCCCATGTCTTGGCCAGGGCCTGGCCGTGGATTACCGCGTCCATATGGGTCGTTTGGTGGGAATATGTTTGGGTTGATATTAAAAGCCGATGACGGTGGGCGAGTGCTAGATGCTCTGATTTCTGGGGCAAATCCACCAGCCATGGTGGGGCGTTGTGGGCCTAGCCGTGGAGGGCCGTTGTCCATTGGGTACGGCGCTGCTGTAGATGGGCGGTCATAAGGCGCCGACATGGGCGCATTTGCGATCATGGGAGGCTGGTCAGAGATGGGATACGGTGTTGTGCTATCGCCTCGGCCTGGTAGTCGACCACCTCCTGGTGTGGCAGGCGAGGCATCCGAACCGTAATCAGAAGGGCTTACATCGCTGATCGATGCCATAGGGGCATGAGGTTGCTGAAGCCTTGTTGGCCGCTGTCCCCGCATGGAGCCGTGCTTTGACTTGATCATATTGATTGCGACGTTTTCATGGTCCTTCTTTGACAATGTTCGTGACAATTTCGATATGCTCTCTATACGCGCGGTTGCGTCTTTGTTGCCGTTCTTCTCTGCTTTTCCATACCACTCGAGGGCTTTGTCAAGATTGACTGGAACATTCATACCAATCTCGTGGAAATAGCCCATGGCAAATTCTGCAGTGGCCAGACCCGTCGCTGCTGCTCGTTGAGCATATTGGAACGCCAGCTCTTCATTCTTGTTGAATTCTCCCTCGTGTCCACACAGGAACCACTTGCTGATAGCCATGTCTGCTTCAGGCTCACCCTGTCTGGATGCGAGCGCATTGTAGTGCAAGGATAATGTAGGATTGAACTCACAGCCCAAGCTGCAGAGCTCATAAGCAGAGCCCATTTTCAGCTGAGCCTTTGCGAAGCCAAGGTATGCGGCCTTCTCGATGTTTTGTCGTGCACCTTTCTCGTCATAGGCCAAGAACGCCTCAGGAACGCTGATCTGTGGAAGTTCGCGCGCTTGAAGCATACCCAAGACGTAGGCACCTTGGGGAGCATTCTCATCTGCAGTAGCAGCGGCCTGTCTGATAAGTTGAATACCCCGCGCGAAGTCTTGTGGCTGCCCGTGCTGTCCAAGGAGCGTCATCATACCAAGACGGTAGTTGGAGGCCGAATCACCCTGCTCTGCGCCAGCTTTGTAGTTTTGCAGAGCTTTGATGGGGTCGTTTGCCTGCTCGAATTGCATGCCCATTCGATACTCTGCCCTGGCATATCCTTTTGCGGCCGCACGAGAGTAGCATCGAAACGCCTCCTTTTTGTCTGCTCGCATGCCGAATTTACCAAACTCGAGCCACATTCCCCGCATGAACATTGCCTTTGGGTGATGCTGATCTGCCAAAAACGTTACCACATTCATTGCATCCACACGCAGCTGGTGCTCGACTTGTGGTGTTGCCGGCCTAGCCCCCTGGATCTCGGAGATGCGCTGCTCGTGCAACTGCGCAGCATCCACGTATTGTAAAGCATCTTGTGCCCAAGCCAACTGCATCTCGGGATCGTTCGAGTTGAGGACAGGCAAGCGCGCATTTTCCAAGACTGCTTCCTTTTCATCGTCGGACGGAGGGACATTGGGCGGTCTGTTTGGGAGCTTGGGGAAGGGTGAGAAATTGGGCGACTCGTGATGCTGCGCGAACTGGTTGTAATCGTGTGAGGGCTGGTGCTGAGGCTGGACAGGCTGAGGCTGGACGTTGGGTGGTTGTCGAAAGGCAGCGGAGATGCTTCCTTGTCGGGATGGCCATTGATCGCCGTGTGCGGGCAGCTCGTTGGGGTAATTAGCCTGTCGCGGGGAGAACTGCTGCTGCTGCGACTGATTGTAGCCCTGCTGCGTTGGTGACATTGCGCCGTTGATGCCTCGAGGGCCGTTTGCCTCCAACTCAAGATGTGCGATGTTTTCTTGCATGTTCTCGGGCACTTCGGGCATGATCCTGCCGCCAAATCTACGTCAGCCGCAATCTTAGGGCATGCATGTGGTGGTGGGCTAGAACGAACCGCTGGGGCGCAGGGGAGATGACTTCTGGCGAAGGAGCCGGCATATAATAGTCATCGATGCCTCCTGGCACAAAAGTCGCCCCTAGCTGGGGCTGGTTGTGGTAGTAGCTCATAGTGGCTAGGGAATGTCAAGCCTGAGACGCTGCGGCTTCTTGGGATGTTAGCATCAGCTCCTGTGCAAAAGAGACCTGTATAGCCATGCAGGTCCCCGCCATATAATAAGCCACTCTCGCATGTTGGGGTTCCGGAGGCCTTGTTGCATGCCGAGTGACGCGTGGACCAGGAAATGAGCGTACCTGGACTTTGGTGGGGTACGACCCTGAATCGCTGTCGCTAATAGCTGTTACCTTTCCCGCAACCCGTGCGGTCCCCCGGGTCTCGTATACGAGGATGCGGGCGATCTTGCGTAGGCGTATGTCGCGTAAAGCTCAGGGAGGAGTATTGATGGCGGATGGTGGCGGCGCTGGCGAGGGTTGGGCGCAGGGGCACAGGTGGGTAGTATAGGTCGAGGGGCGGAGTTGGAGAGAGAGAGAAAGAGGGGGACAAGAGAGGGAGCGAAACACGCAGCGACCAAGAGGTGAAACAGGCGTTGAAAGTGATCGGGGCTCCTAGATTCTGGGCAGTAAAAGATGCCGTCGCTTGACGTCAAGTTCAAGTGCGTTACCTGACTCTGCACACACCCGCGCACTTCCAAAGATCACAAGAACACAAACAGAAGACCCTTGAACGGATGTGCATGGGTCATAACGTCAGTTGTGTACAAACCCCAGGCTCACATCATCTATAACTATCTCGGTGCATCTGGCGCTTAAAACATGATACGCGGATTGGGCTGCGCCGCTGCGCCATACAATCCCCGGAGGCTGTGCACTAATAGTATTCAGCGTCGCGTCACCCCTTTTGGCCTCTCTGGCATGACTTCTTGGGTGTTTGAGCTTGTCAAACTCCGGATCTAGCGGCATGTTGAGCGTTTTTTCTTCTGCGGAGATGAGACATTACGTACCCATGTCCATATGTATTCGGGCGCAGTATTGGCTTGCGTGGCTGCATATGTTCATGACTTTGCTACTATGATTAAATCGAGACTCGGGGTAGAGAGCCATCACAAATATAGGTCCACCATGATCATCATCATGCTTGGCATCGTACGTTGTTATTTCGTGACAAGGGAAAGACAATATCCTGCAGATAGCGGCTACAGGCATGTCAAAAGTATACATATCTTAAAGACGACCCAGCCAACACCGCCTGCCGCTGTCCCAAGGCAGTCGCAATGACGGGTATGCAAAGTCAGAAAGTGACCTGAACGGGGCGCTGTTACCGCTTAGTGCACCATGACATCTGCGCCATGCTGTTGTTGTGCAGCACCGCCAGACTGTTGGCCGGCTGCCTTGTCACCGCTGGCAGCACTTGGCTCGGCCTCATCCATTTCCATGTCGTCGTCTCCGCCCTCCTCGCCCTCCTCCTCCTCGTCATCTTCCGAGTCTTCAATGTCAATCTCCTCGCTACCAGCCTCAGACTCGGCATCGTCGTCGTTGACGGGGCCGGCAGTGTCCTCGGCACCTGCCATGGCAGCATCATCACCCTCGGCAGCGGCACCCTCGACACCCTCGTCTTCCTCTTCCTCCTCCTCGATACCGTACTGGTCTCCGTCGGCAGTGAGGTCGGCCTCTGGCTGCTCCGGGGGGAACTCGGGCGGCGCAGACTCTTCAGAGTCCCTGGTGGGGTTAGCGGCATTGAAGCGTGCTTGTGCGGGTGCCCAAACATACCATTTGATGGCGAATCGGGTGACTCGTGGCTTCTCGGCAAGAATTTGCCTCTGCACCTTCTCGATGACAGGCTTGGTGGGAGGGTCTAGAGCGAGCGCCTCATCTGTGTACTCGTTGTTCACGTAGTATCCGACACGGACGAACTCGCGCTCATCGTAACTGCAGCTGAGCAGAATGACGGTGACACCAATGATTTCGCTGTTGGGAATGCGCGATAGATCCGGGGGATCGGCACGGAATTGGAACTTGTTGACACCGACTGGCAAAGGCCCAACAAGGACCGAGTCGAGTTCCTGGTCATACTCGTTTCTGGCACCCGTTAGACGCAGTCAGGACAATGGGCGGGGGCGGTTGATGGACTCACGAGGTCGCGGAGCCAACATAGGTCAGCTTCCATTCGAGATCTGTGGATGCGTGTTAGCAGGGGCAATGGACACGCTGGACAAGGGTACTCACCTTTTTGTAGTTGCTCGAGGCATTCGAATGTGATTTCAAACTCGTAGGGCTCGTCGAAGCGCGCGGGGTTGTTCTTGACCTCGACGCCGAGAAGCGAGACGACAGACATGTTGAGGCTGGACGCGGTGGACTGAGTATGGGGGCGAGGTGAGAAGAGGAGGGAAGGATAAGAGTGCAAAGGCAATTGAATTGGTGGGTGTTAGGCGTGTGTGCGTTGGTGAAGGTGGTAGTGGGGTGCAGTCCACAAAAGAGACAACGAGAAAAGGTGTTTGTTATGGAAGCGGTGAGGACGTGCGTTGGAGAGATCGCGGCGGCAACCATCCAGTGGGGATCAAAGACCGCCCTGTCGCGAGTCGCGTGGGCTGCAGAAACGTGACTGGGCGTTTTGGCGTTCGCGTCTGGTGTTACTGTTGCTGTCATCCATTGTTGCCATGACGGGCATGGTCAAGAACCCCTCGCCGTACATTGGCAAGGCAAAGACAGCCTCGCCATGTCGTGACACTCTGTCTGAGCGTGTATGTATGTATGTATGCATGTATGTACACATCATTGAGGCCCAGGTCCAGTCCATCGGCATTAGCCTCAGTAGGCTCAGGAACGCCACAACCACGACCCAACCAATTCCTCCAGCACACTGACAGAAATACTGCATAGACATTGTTTAAGTATACGTACAGAATCCAACGGCTGCCCCTGCTGCAGTCGGTCCGGATAGATGGCTAGCACTAGAGCCATGCGTTCTTCTGATAAGGTTCTCATTCGCCATGTATACGAAACGGACCACCATGATGCCCACCCTCGATGAACAAGGTGTTCCCGGATGTCTGCTTGCTACAGCTGGTCGAGGAAGTCTGTTCACGCTCGCACAAGACACGTCAAGACGGCAAGAGACGACTTGACAAAACAAGCAACTGGACGAGATGAGGCCGATGGACATTGATTACCGTGTAGTAGCAGTCGCAGTCGCTGGTGGTTCCCGGAAGCCGGCGTGGGGCGGCTGACGGCCTGGTGCACCAGCCGAGAGGATTTCCGCGTCTCGCCTGGTCGGAGGGAGTTCTGGGAGGCCCTAGTTAGGACAAGGTCATGAGGGGGTCCTCGTCCTTGTCGGTGCGTCCCAGACAACTCTCTCCTTTGCATCAGTTCTGCTGCCGTCTGGAGCCGCGAACCCACAGATGTACCTACCATCTGCATCCCCTTATCCGCCATCTCGACAGTAGCTCTCCTGCAGCCGTCAGAAAACGTAAAGTCGACTAGCAGCTAACGTACACCACGTTCGCTTCCCGCTTAGTCGGTTCTTTTCCCCGTCGCTGATTTGCTCCCCAGCGCTTCTGGTTCCCATCTTACGTCCGTAAGGCCTTCTACCCTACCCTACCTACCTGTACCACGGTCCCACAACCATCTCAACCCGTCATGTCCAGCGCGTCCCTGCCAAGCTTGGACAGTACCCAATGGCCTAGTCAACTGCCTGGCTTTGAACGCAAGACTGCTCAAGCTCAACCCCGCGTTCGCCGCCGCAATCGGTTGATCACTTCGTGTCTTGAATGCCGAAGAAGAAAACTAAAGTGTGACAAAGCCCAACCATGCACACACTGTACCAAGAACTCTCGGGCATGCGTCTTCATCGCCCAAGGCCTAGATCCAGATGCGCAAGCAAAGCTCGCAGAGGTCAAGGAGCAGATGGGCATGTTGGAGAGAAGTCTCGAAGAAGGCGTCGTTCGTAAGACAGACTCAGGCAACAGAGGCCCTTATGATTTCTCCAGACTGAGCGCACTCCCCGGTCAAATCCACCAAAGTGACCAGGAAGACGATGAGGACACCAAGGACCTTCGTCCAACCGGTTTTGTTACCGAAGACGCTACCTATTACGAAGACGAAGACGATACCAACGACGACATAGTCGATCTTGGCTTCCGCATGGGTAAGATTCGAATAACAGAGCGTATTGGAGGTCTCGTGCGTCCAAAGTTCTCGGATGAAGTAAGTTTCCGCATCTCCCGGGCCGCTTATCGTCAATTAACATATTTGTTTTCCAGCTGGCCCAGCACATAAAAGAAATGCCATTACGCGAAACACCCGCACAGCCAACTATAGAGGAAGATCCCACTTGGTTAGCGCCAAGTAAGGACTATGTCGCCCCATCGTCCAACTTCATGCTGGCTTCCGGACTCGATAACGCATCGCTCGTGTCTTATCTGCCAGCACGATTTATTGTCGATAAACTTATCGCACATTACTGGGTCGCCGTGCATGTCGTTGCTCGAGTCGTCCATCGCCCCTCGTTTGAGAGGCAATATCAAAACTTTTGGATCAGAGTCAACATGGGCATGGAGCCTCGCTCTTCCTTCCAGGCGGTTCTTTTTGCGGCTATGCTGAGTTCAGTCGTCTCTATGAGTGAAGAGAAAGTGCAGGCTGAATACCAGGTTGATAAACCAACACTGGTGAATAGCTTTCGTGAAGGAGCAGAGGCAGCTCTCGCCAAAGCAAACTTCTTGCGCACTACCAAGCTGGAAACAATTCAAGCTTTTGTCATGTATCTGGTAGGTTACATCCTTCATGCGAGAGTCTAAACAGATGCTGCATCGAATTTACTATACATTCGCGGTATTTTTGTACAATGGTATCATGAAGCTAATTTAGTGACTTTAGATCCCCTTGTGCCGTAATGAAGTGTCCCGCGCTCATTCTGCGCTGACGGGATCCTTGATCCGCCTTGCCGAATGCATGGGGCTCCATCGGGACCCTACCTCATACAGTAGCTCGCCAATCGAGATCCAAGTCCGGCGCCTTGTATGGTATCAGATCTGCTTTCTAGATCTCCGTACTTGTGAAGCTGTGGGTCCCCGACCGCAGATCCGTCTGGATGATTATGATACGCGCTTCCCTCTTAACATCGATGATGATGACCTCGATCGCGCTGAGCGTGGTGAGCCTGGCATAGATGTCAGCAAAGACTCGATTCGTTTCACCGACATGACCATAAGTCGTATGCGCTTTGAAGCATACGAAATGCATCGATACCTCTGGAATGAACGCCCAAAATTAGACCAGAAGCGCACGGGCGGCAAAAACGACGTAACCATTACATCCATCCTATCACGTGTTCAGTCATTCCTGGCAGCCATGGAGAAGAAGTATGTGCCGATGCTTAGCAAGTCGAACGCACTACACGTCCTGGCTTCAGAGCTCCATGGTATTGTCTCGAATCGACTGTACGTCTCAATATTACAAAAGTACATTTCTAGTGTTCGCAGCAGAATGCCTGAGCGCTTGCGACAGCTTGTCATGAGCGCTGCGACGCTGATCCTGGAACATGGCATGGCGATTGAGCAGCATCCTATCTTGTCTCGATGGTCATGGATTGTTGGTGCTCTCCACCAGCATCACTGCGCGCTTCTCCTTATCAGTGAAGTGAACATGTCTAAGCCTGACCCTGTCATAGAGCAACGAATCTGGAGATGTTTAGATTACTCGCTCGATCTCCCTCCAGGGCTTTCCAACGAGGAAAAGACGAAATCAGTATTGTCAGAGCTGGTTGGCAAAACTAAGAAATACTCTGATATGAAGCGAGTTCGCGCCCCGAACAACGCACCAAGTGTACCAAATGCGCCACCACAATCTAGACAACAACCCCAAGAAGGCCAGGTACAACGTCAGGAAATTTCACCACCACCCGTGACCAGTGTTGGTCCTCCGCCGCATAGCATGGCAGAAGGGTTGCCCGCACAACTACCTGTGCAACCAGCGCGTCCACCTACCCTACAACATGGTTCTTCACTAGGTCCTAGAGTAAACAATTTCCCCGGTGCTATCCCAAGCGTGGATTGGGGCACTATCGATCTTCCAGCCTCAGTCCCGGTTGCGCAGCCGCCAGTGTACAATGACTACGTCCCCAGCTCTGTTGGCGCGTATCCTCCCAGTATGGACCCCTACGGTGGAGGCAACAACAGCAGTCCGAACTCTGCAATATACGGCACGACTCCTCAGTCGTCAAGTAGCAACCCCATGGACGCCATCAATGAGATTGACTGGGTAAGTCGATTCGCTCAAGCGTGATTATTCAATACTGATACAGAAAACAGAACGATGTTGAGAAGATGTTTGGTAGTGCGCAAATGGACGTGGGGAACATGCTCATTCCGCCATATACATTTCCGCAATTCTCGGTTTCAGACTTGCAGTGGCCTGAGCAATATGGCTTGCAATAGACACGGGCTAGATTGTTAGATGAGCAAGAGTTACAGGTTGTGTACTATTGATATCATTTTGTGTTTGAGAGATTATAATATTTTCATTTCGTTGAATAGCCTCGATGGGGACTTATCTCCCCTTTTGGAACAATCTTCCATCGTGTATCTCGGAGGGAGGCAGAGACCGTATAGCCTCCGTCACGGTGCCATCGCGCTTTGCTACGTCTACTATACCCTCATTGGAGTAGCTTCCGGTGCCGTAATATGGACCTTTGTGAGTCTGTATATCCGCCTTGTCAACTCTAGTGCTTTGCACAACCTTCTCACGTCGATTATCAGCCTTTTCGTATTTCTCAAAGGAACCCTCGGTTAGCGGTACATTGCCAAGAAGAAGCGGCTGTGATGCTCCGTGATGCGCGTCTTCACAGCATCTGCGTAAATAGATGTGGCAAGATACCCGAACCATTATTGCAAGTCCAATCGCGTTATTTTTGTCTTGGTGATTTAGATCCAGCGAAGTGGGTTCATGGGCAATATAGATGGATGGAATCATTCATCACTCATGACTGATCACTTGATGGTCAAGATAGTGAAGCTGGCCATTGTTGTGTTGGCATACTGTTGTCAATTTGTAAGACACTTGTGATTGTTTAACGTGAATGCGGTTAGAGATGTCAAGAATGGTCTACGTTGATTGTGCAAAGATGTTGAGAGTAAACGCCCGGAGATGTGGTGCAAGCTAGATGTGCAGCACAAAGCGGCTATCGCCCTTTAGGGAAGGCGCTGCCAAGGCTCGCTTGTCGCCGTAGGACCACCAATATTGTCGTCCCCCACCACGAGTTTCTGCCTCTCACGAACTTTCCAAAATATCCACGGCAGTCATTCTTTACTACCAGAACCGATTGACTACCTCAAGCACTAG